CTTAGAGGACTCTCACACCCAGCCCAGTAACAGCGTGGCTAAAATATTTTTCCAGGATGCCTATATCTAGGATCCCAATTGCTTAGAACACTATTTTTAAATTTACTCCCAACTTCTGAGAAAAGGTTTTCCTAGGTACTTTATTTTGTATTGTCATATTTAAACAGTCATCCATGTTTTAATAGAACTTTATTTTTGTTACAGAGAACAAACCATCCATTCTTTTTTTTTCAAGGTTTCTCGTGTTATTCCCCAATCCAATTCCTTTTTATCTACTTCCTTCTCAAAAGCAGCCCTCCATGTGTTATTTGATTTCTCCTGAATTCTCAGTATTTCCCTTTTCACTTCCTTTTTAAAATTTAGTAACAAAACAAAAAACCAAAACCACTCACTATAGAAACCACACAAACTTTCATAAATAAAATGCAGAGAAAAAGAATTTTTTTCCTTTCAAGCTCAAATATGTTAAACATTATCCTATAAGAGACAAGAAGGATGAAAGAAAATTATGTAGAGATAAAACTTGGCTTTTTAAACAGAAGAGTGATACAGTTTGAAGTATGGTAACATTTAAAGACAATCACTAGTAGATCAAACCATAGATTCAGAACTTTCTAAACAAGAAGTGGAGTAAAGAATTTAAACAAAGGAACAAAGAGAGGAAGATTAATATGGAATTGGAGAAATGGAAAATAGGAAAGTTCAGTTTGCAAAGTGCCCCCACCAAAAAAAGTACCTTATCATACAGCCTAGGCTGCTCTAGCATGTGTGGGCTCAAGTAATCCTCCTGTTATGAAGCAGAATAGAAATAAAGATAAGTAAAAAAGGAGAATCAGAATTTTAAAAATATACTTTAAAAATACCTTATAACTTTAGGACACAAAAGTTACAATAAGCCAAGGCAATTCCGTTACACCTGCAAATTGTTTTTTTTTAATTCATTAATAGCCCACCTCCTTTACCTGTTAATTATACTTTCCCAGTCCTCAAGGAAGTTTCCATGTTGGCAGGTAGCATATCTCAACTTCAGACTCAGTAAAGAGTTAGCATTCAGATATGCTCTGTCAACTCAGTATCCCCATAGACAGTAGGAATACACACCCCAGATCACCCATCTTGAAAACCTGCACTTCTTGCTCTGGGAAGGGAGTCCGGGAAACTACAGCTTAATGGTACAGAGAAGGTTAAACTCCATGCAGTGACAGTCTCAGCCTCCCACGTTGCTGGTTCTACAGTCCTATGCCACAACCTTTGGCCAAGAATAATTTAATTTAAATAAACTATCAAATAGGAAAGTAGTTGCTCATCCTGTAGCAACTCTCTTCTTTCTCCATGGAAAATAAAACACTTGCAAGAGTAATTAAAAGGAAAAATTAAATTATGCTGTGTTAAGAAGTAACTAGCAGGCAAGTAATAGAGATTGGTCAAAATGTACCTGATAATTTTAAATACCCATAAAAATGAAAGCCAGGAATATATTTTACGAAGGATGCTTCAATGCAAAAATATGCATGAAACAGAACTGCATAGAATTTTTTAATTAAATATTTATAAACAAAGACAGATTTTTGGAGTGCATCTGATAAAACCCATATGCAGGCAATGTAGCTTGGACTCAGGAAAGACGAAAACCAAGACTGCAAAAGCCTCTGGGAAACAAACAGGCATTCCGTCTCCTTTCCGTTCTTTTTCCTGTTGCATCCAGGGTGAGAATTGCTGCTCCACTGGAATGAGCAGCCAACTGTGACCGGAAACTGATCACCCACGAAGAATTAGTGTGATGGAGTTTATGAAAGGAAGACAGTATTTGTAAGGAAGAAAAAACAGAAGATAGAAAGATGCCCCCAAAGAGGGGCCAGTGTGTTCTGAGAAGGTGGATTTCCTGAGTTTCTGCCCTGGGCTTCTTTTAGTGACTCCTCCATGTGGGGGTCTGGAACTTGTCAGAGTGTGCTTGGCTGTTTGGCTACCTTTGACTTTTCCATAGATACACTTGCCTATGAGCACAATCCTTCTGATGGGCTTTGTGTGATTCCTCTCTGCCCTTTTGTGATGCATAAGTTGGTGGCACTTAGTAAGAAGGCAGTTTAAGGTTGGTGATTAAGTAAGGGGATACATGTGTATCTAGTGCAGTAAGATAGTGACCCTACAGTAAGGAAAAAAAAATATATATATATACACACACATATAAATGAATAATGTAGGGCTCATGGCTCTCCAGCACCCAACTTGTTTGCCAGCACAGACACTGTTTTCAGCAAGGACTATTCAGCACTGAGGCTGTCATCCATCTACAAATACAGGATGTTGTAAAAGAGATAAGATAAATAAGGAATCTTATAGAGCCTCCGACATCTGGAGCCCTGAAAATTTATACCATATGGCTCAAGAACCCTGCCCACTGAAGGAACTTTGACCACAGATATTTATTAACCTCTTCCTGCCTAATGTCTCTTGCCTCTTTCAATTCCTATTAAAAAAGGCCTGCTTCTCTTTGTTCCCTACAGATGGTCATAGCATCCTGTGACTGCCTGCACCCAGCTATTAAACCTTTGTCTGTTCAGAAAATCTTATCAAGGGGCCTCTGTGCCATTCGTGTTCCTTACATACAGGTGTGTATATTGTCATATTCTAAGTAAGAGTTTGGGGCCAATCTGCCTTTTGTATCGTTTGTATTTTATTGGGTGGAGGGGCCGCTGTGCTTCTGGGTCTTGTTTATTTGTTGTTTGTTGGTTGGTTTGGTTTGTTTGTTTCATGCTTCTGGCTTCCTCCTGTGCTCAGCTTATCAATTCTCCCTTCTGTTTACTGCTTCATCCAGTAAAGTTTTGATCCCTTCTGGTCAAGATGAGAGAGAAAGCCTAATGAGATGCCTATTTTATTCCTTCCCCTACATTTCCTTGTCAATTAAACTTTGCAGATTTTGCCCACAGTGTTAAGAAGAGCACCACTCAAGTCCCAGGGTAACAAGTATTCTGCATAAATAGCTAGTAAAGATCCCCCAGAACACATGCCAGTCTTAATCATTGCATATCATGGAAAACTTACACAGCTTCTGGCACTGGAGAGTACTGCTGCAAATTAAGTGAAGGAGAAGGTCACAGAAATTGAAAAATGTGAGTACCCAATTGATACTATTTGAATGAACAGAGACACATACAAATGAAAACAAGCATAGCATTTGTAATTTAAAATCATAAACTCTGGAGATATTCTGGGATTTAATTTAGGTCCTGCAACTCATCAATTGATTTTGGGCAAGTTATATAAACCTTATATTACACAGAATCAAATTAGGTAGTGGCTGATAGAAACAGAAAGTAACAAGCCCCAAGATACAACAGAGATGAGGCAAAGTGCCTGTGGGCAAGGGCTGAGTGGATGTAAACTAGACCCTAAAATAGAGGCTTGTTAGCTAAGCTTACCTCGGAGTTGTCCTGCACCTGGCACATTTTATCTAATAAGCCTAATCAATAAAACAAACACATAGGCAGATCATCAGAACATTCTGACCAGCTCTCCTACCCCTTCAAGAAGTACCTTTGTACTTCATGCTGTGTACTCTGTATGACCTGTTAGGTCAATACTAGCTAAGTAAATGTACTTATAATCCAATAGGTTGACTGTAGTTTGACCCAAGGTAGCCTCTGATGTGAATTTACGCTACAAAAACCCCTTGACAAAGAGGCTCAGTGACACCTACTTTTGGGACCTCTCCTGTCTCTCAGGAGCTTTCTCTTAGTAACACATTTCCTGCCTTTAACCACCTTTGACCTCAGCTCCGTTCTTTAGCATCCTGAGACGTGAATTTGGCACATCTAACAGGTTGGGAGTTATTTCTGTGTAACATCTAAACCCTCAACTTTTGTCATCTGTAAGGTGAAGTTGATTATAATTGTGAGCACTTTATTGTGTTTTTACTCTAGTATTTAAGTGTGAGGCTGTGGTTGTAATTTAGTGGCAGAGAGCTCGCCTGGCTTGCTGAAGGCTTTGGGTTTCATCCTTGGTGCCATTCACCTGGGCGTAATAGCACAGGTCTATAATTTCAGTTACTTGGGAAGTTGATGAGAAAAAATCACAAGTTTGAGGTCAACATGGGGGCAACATAGTAGTACCTTGCCTCAGAATAAAGAACAAAATAGGCTGGAGGATGTAGCTCAGTGCTACAGTGCCCCTGACTTGTATTCTTGGTACTCAAACAAACAACAAAACCATGCAATTTTTTAAACTGTATAAAATTAATTAGAAAGCTGAGTCTAAAGCTTATTCAGAAGCGTAATTAATGCATGTTGTAAATTGTAAAATATTGATGAGGTTGATAATGAGTTTGCTTCATTACAATCTTACAGAAATTATGTAGTATGGACTATATCAACAAAAAGTCAACATATTGAAGGGAAACAATAGAATTCAGGAGAGAAAGTTAATGAGGGCCAGAAATTAAACTTATATAATTCTTGGAAGGTACAAACTTCCAGAATTATATTCTCAGTGTACAAAATATTAGTAATATTATTAACGTGATAACTTTACATATTATTCTAGGGAACTATAAACTTCCTTAGTTATATTCTTGGTGTACAAAATATTATTAATACTATTAAATACAATAACCTCATATCTTCTGCAGAGAGGTAGACATACAGAAACAATCAGAAGTCTCTTTTGGTGTCTCTTGGATTAATGAGTTCAGCCTGCCTCTATAAACTTTGCTTACTGAACAATTTTTGATCTCAGATAGTTAGCAAAGAGTAAAGATAAATAAACGTTGAAGGGTAAAGTAGATTTCATATGATTAGCATGATCAGTGAGGCACAGACAAAGGTCTGATTTCAAAATTCTAAGTGAGTTTTGTTCTCCCTTCAATTATGATTTCTTATTTAATCTATAAGTTTGTGTGTGGGAGGATCAGCTCTCCCATTGCAGCCTAAAATGAAAACATCCCAAATGAGAAAAACTGGATTCCCTTTAGTTTAATAGTTTCCAAAGTTTGGCTTTTGCAGCAAACCATCTGCAACCACAAACTCCCTGCTGCTGAACTGGCAGGAGACAAAGAAATAGAGAACAGTACAGGAATCACTTGTGTGAGCGCAGAGATTTTGGCAGCTTGTCCGAACTGAGACCATAATCCTCTCCGGAAATCAGTCTAAGACAGAACTATTCATAATAAACATGAAACTAATACTCTGATGTAGTAGTGACCCAAAAGGAATGTGAATTCTTCTCCAGAACACAAAGACCCGTGGATGAACTGTGTTTCTAGATTTTTGCTTCAGCTTTCCTGAAAGTAAGTTAACCTCTAAATTGTTTATTTTTACATTTGTAAATATAAAGTAAGACTAGAAGTAGAAATGCCAAAACATGTCTGTGAAAATCATTAAATGCAGTGAATTACTACTCGTTTTGATTTTTCGAAGAATATGAAGTATTTTATATTGCATGACTAAATAATCAGCTGGAAGATATTTTATTTTACTCCATGGCCAAAGGATGTTTGGACAAATAGCACGTCTAATAGAATAGGCTATTAGACACACTGAAAGGAATGTGATTTTATGCTGCCTCTTTGCAAGTATGAACTATTTCCAAAGTTAGAACTATTTATTCTTTATTGTTCGTCTTTAGTTTTACTGTCAGAGGAATTATCGGCATTAGAGTATACAAGATTGTCTGAGTTTCAAACTATTTTAACTGAATTGAGAATATTTCCATTTACAAAACTTAGATACTTTTATTAATGTTATCACACTCTGTTGTCTTAGTAAATAAATAAGAATTTTTATCTAATTTGTTGTGTAATGCATTTATTCCCTGAACATCAAGAATTCTATCTGACTGGGAAAAAACTGGCTTTCATGACCATTTTACTATTTTTAAGTTACATAATTTTTCTTCTTTGGTACAATGTAAGTTAACTAGATGTTTGTGCTACCATAGTAAGCATTACTGTTTTCTTCCTGATATTTGTATCAGTATAGGCGGTGGGAAATATTGGTCTTCACTGAAACAACCACATTTGTGACAATTAGATCATACAATTTTTCTTTTTATATTTTCTAGTACATATATTAATTTATAGAAAGAAAGGAGAGTAGTCACTTGGGCAACATATCAAACACTTACAGATCTGAGATCTGTTACAGTATTGATTTCTCAGTGGAAATGTGTAGTTTGGTGTCACTTGGGGGTTCTAGCTCTCAGGACCTCTGCACACATCTGTGCAGGGAGCTCACCTGTGCTGCAGGGAATGCAGCTGTCATGAGTAGCAGAAAATCATTGTAATTTTCAGTGTACTTGTTTATGGATTTTGATTTGTGCTTGTGTGTGTTTTTCTTGAATCTTTTTCAGGCTTCCATATAGAAGGAAAATGAAGGATTTAGTTCATTATACTCGTGAGGCCGTGGCACACAAAGAACCTGTCTTGTTTTGATTATTTATTTCCTTTAACTTCTAGTTCCTGGCCTCCATTTCTTTTTCTTACAGTCGTAAGTGACCCTTTTTTTGCACTTGATGGTGAGCCTTTAGTTCCTGGATATTTTTTGAAAATATATATTGCATATAGTACCAATTCATATAAGTGATATAATATAACTGAAACTTTTATTTCTTATTTTTAAATTATCATTATTTTTTCAAGATTGCTTTATGTGAATGGGTAGAGAGGAGCCTTTGCTGTTAGTTCCTACATACTACTATTTAAATGGTATGCTTTAAAATGTGCTTTACAACACCAGGCCACAATAATTTACAGTTTGAAAAACATCCATGTTCATCTTGGTGAACCCATAGGAGAATTTTATTGGGATATATATGATTTTGCTTAATGGTAATGAAACTATAGCAAGTCACCTAAATGACTGAGTGTATACTTCTGCCATTAGTATATAAAATTCTTTTATCCCTCTTAGATGATTTAATTGACAAGAGCTGTGGGGACAACAGCTCTCAATACTATTAAACTCTCTAATTTCTCTCAGTACTATGCAAAATATATACTATTGCAACTGTTGTAATTTTTATTTTTTTTTAAGCCTGAATGTGAGCATTTCTTTTTTCTGTCTCTCTTTTGTTCTTAAAAAAAATCTTTGAGCGTTCTTTGCCTCTAAGTATGCAATTGGAAACAGCTGTTAAAATGTTTCTCTGCTGTTAGACTGCACAGTGTTTGCCGTTTGAGATATTCATATTTACTCCTTTATTTCCTCACTTTAAAACTAAACAGGTCAAAATGAGCAACAGGCACATAAGCGTGGGTCAACAAATGTGGACTCTTCTCCTCAAGAACTGCCTTAAAAAGTGGAGAATGAAAAGAGAGACCTTGTTGGTATGGTTCAGAGTCTGTGCCCTCATAATTAGAGGGGAAAAGTATTTCCTCAGCAGCACCAACACTTTTTACTGATCATTCGATGTTTTCAGGGGGTCCTAATCCTAATTAGCAGGCAGGCATTTTCCAAATTCTTGACTCTGCTATTTTTTAAATTGAATTTAAAATACGTAATTATTATGTCTTACTGCAGATACTTTTAAAAGCACTCCTGTTCAGAAACTGCTTAAAAGATGAAGCTGTGTCTCTATCCCATAGAGAGAATTCTTCATGTATGAGCTCATTTGCATTTTTATTTCATGGAAAAAAGTAAAAATTTCATAACAAAATAATAGGAGAATAACAATATGTAATACATCAAATATTGTTATCTTTAAAGTAGTTACTCAGAGTACAAAATATGAGTGTAAAAAATTCTCCAATATAGCACAAAACTTTGAGTCTTACTTCACTTATGAGTTTGGTCCCTAGTTGCATCCTCATTTGAACTTAATGGAAACTTTTACGAAGTTTTTCAAGGCCAAAGGCAAAGAAAGAGGCAGAATTTAATCCAGATTAATTCAGAATTGGTCCAAATTTTTAAAAAATAGAAATAATATTCTTCTTTTTTTGTCTTTTTCGTTTTTATTGGTACTAGGGATCGAACTCACAACCGCACACTTGCAAGGAAGGCACTTATGCCACTGAGCTAAATCCCCAGCTCCAAAAATAATATTCTTACCATAAAATATATGGTGATGGGCCTGGAAATTATCCTATTAATCAATATGTAGGTGAATCAAAATAACACAGTGTACATCATAAATAGTACAAATATTATGTCAATCAACAAAAATAGAAATACATATTATAGTGATTTGAAACAATTGAACTATGGACATAGACAATGTGACAGAAAATTCCAGTTTGAAAAAAATAATGGGAATTTAAATGAATAAGAAACAAAACAATATCTTGATCTTTTACTTCCATTAAAGAGTAATTTGGATTCCATTAAAGTAATGGAAGTAATTTACTTCCATTAAAGAGTAATTCCATTATTTTTATTGTAACAATGGTTAGATTGCTTTGCATAGAAAATTAAATAAATGTAGAAAAGCATAATAAGGTCAAATCATAAAGTGCCATAGTTGAAGAGTTCACCATAGTTGAAGAGTTGATGTATTAAACCTTGTGTGTGTGTGTGTGTGTGTGTGTGTGTGTGTGTGTGTGTGTTCATTCAATAGGAGTGCATTAAATGCTTTGATTGTCGGTGAATGAAGTACACAAAAAACTCTCTGCATGGAGCAAAGAATATATAAATATAGGCATAAAAGTTGAGATCATACTGTATATAGATGTTTTAGTCCCAAACTTTTAAATCCTTTTAAATAAGCAGTATATCTACCTTTTTGTCTATTTAGATACAGTTATAGATCCACAAACATAGATAAAATTCTATGTAATGAGTATGATATATACCTCTTTGTAAAGGCTTGTGTTTAAAATTATATCTAAAATAATAACGTGGCTTTTTAATCACTTCAAGTGCATTCTGTTACACTTCCAACTCCAAAATGAAGTCACAATAACAATTGAAAAATTACTTTTAGGAACAGGGATTTAACACAGCAGCACAAGCTACTGCCTGGTAAGTGGAAGGCGGTGAGTTTGATCCTTGGTACCAAAAAAAATTATTTTTATAAGCAAGAATTTGCTCCTGTTTTTATTTTATTTTATTTTGGTACCAGGGATTGAACTCATGACCTCACACTTACCAGGCAAGTGCTTGAGCCAACTGAGCTAAATCTCCAGCCCTGCTCCTGTTGATGGATTCTATTTATCTGTTTTATACTATCTACTTTTCCAGATGACTTTTAACCATTTGGACATTCATGGAAGAATTTGGCTTTGCCTTAAAGAATGATGAACCTAAGATTCTCAAAGCTAATTGACACTGATGTTATGTCTGCCTTAGACAACGTGCTTAATTCAAAGTGTGCAGATTAAAGTAGAAAAGTAAATCAAAACATTTAAAAATGGGAGAAAAAGAAAATGGAATGGAAGCCTTGTAATAGAATTAAGTGGTTTCAGCTGTTTGTTGTAGAACGTTTACTGATTTATTGCATCTTTCTCTCATTGCTACATAGGAATGGTTTTTCTCATTTCTCCTAGTTTTGTTTGCATTCCTATTTTCTTCCAATTTACATCAAGTCAGTGACTATTCTCAAATGCCTGCAATGGATCTGGGACGTGCAGATAATTTTAACGATACTAATTATATCATTGCATTTGCACCTGAATCCAAAACCACTGAAAAGATAATGAGCAAAGTAGCTTCAGCCCCATTCATGAAAGGTATGTTTCTGGAAGTTCATGATAATTTTTTTATTTGGAAAATATGCAAATTCATTTTGGAATTTCCTTGATGCTTTGTGGTAAATTTTGATGTTTGAGGTGTTTATTAAGAGCACTAATGTATATTCATTTCCAGTATCAAGGTTTTCTTACTTCTGACCAGTGTCCTGTTTAGACAATTCCATGTTAAAGGATTGTTATGCTTCATAGTATATATTAAAATGAAGTAAGTTCAAGATTATTTAAAAGATGTTTTAGATAAGGTGTGGAAAGATTCGATGGAAGCAACATAATGGTTTTTCAATATCATCAGATATGTACAGTCTAAAGATATATTGACTAGCAATGCCAAATATGCATGGACAATATTTATAAAAAATGAGATACAAACTATTTCCTTGTATACCAAAATAGAGATTAAGGAAGAAGCACTGACAACTACAAGAGTGTCATAGTATTTCTCTCTGTGGTAGTTGGAGAACAAGGGAAGCAATGGAGTATCTAAATACAGACTGGAAAGCAGACACAGCCAGTTTGTGAAAAGCAACTAAAGCCATTGTTACTAACTATACTGGGAGTACAGATTAGATTGCTATTGTGAGCATGTGTTTGAAGTGGGATAGACCAAATAGGAAATTCTGAAACTATTTCACTATTTGACCCTATGTCCTTGAAAATCAGACCCATGTATGAAGAAAGGAGATGTAAGCCTAAAAGTGATGGTGTAGACCTGTATAATCCAGCTGTCTTGGAAATGCAATAGTCTAGGTTCAATCCCAGTACTGGGGAAAAAAAAGAGGTAGAGGTCTGGAACAGGAACTTATAGAATGAGGACTCTTGTAATTCCAGAGATCTTAGGATAACCTCGAGAACTTATTGGTTATGTTCAGGAAATAACTTGTCTAATGTTGAGATTCAATAAATGAAATAAGTATAATTTGAAACTTGTAAACAATTTTAACTCAGCTTTCAGAATGAGGTTAGTAAGAGGCAAAAGATTTATACAACCTGAAGAAAAATCATAGTATTCAGAATGAGATTAAAATGAAAGTATAATTTCTTGTTTACATTAAAAGATGATAGCAAATGAGTTCTTATGATGAAAATTTTTAAATAATGGGAAAAATTACAGCGTGTATCCTATCTGGATTATATTATTCAAAAGCCATATATACAATGGAAAAGTGCTATTTTATAAATAGCTTTTTATTAATAAATGGAAAAATAAGTGACAGGAATACAGCATTGTCATTTTGAAGCTTCCATTAACAATGGATCTTGGCACTCAGCATTAACATCTGTTAAATCTCAAAAGAGAAACAATCAGATATTATGACCTCCTGATAATTTATCACCACCTATAATCTGACACAAGGGTTAAACCTGACTCTGATTAAGTTCCTGAACACAGATAATGGATTACAGGAAATACAGAGGACAAGGGAACATATTGTATAGGATAGGGAATATGCAGTAAATGAAATTGAAACATGAAATTATGTTGGTTAAATGGTTTAAGTTTCATTAGTAACAACCTTTTACATTATGTATCTTAGAATAAACAATTTCTCAAGAAAATTTTATCATATTTTACAATTTTAGGACATCTTAAAAGTCTGACCTCTATATTATAGTCAAACCAAAATACATAGGTCTGAATTTTAGTGGGTGACACAGAATTGCTATTATTTCAGATTCATAATACTTTAAATTGTTGGCTAAACACTTCATTTTGGAAAGGTGATATTTGCAATAAAAGTATTATCATAAAAATAAATATAAAAGTATTTGCCATATCACACTTCTGATTTTCTTCATAACAGTAGAAACTGTCTGCCTCTCAAATTCAGGGCTGCATTTGGGGGAGAAATATCTCTAAGAAAAAAAAACTTCACAATAATTGAACTTGCATGCTGTCTTTGGGCCACATAGAAATCTTACTTACCCATTTTCTTTCTTCACATGGCAGGAAGGACAATCATGGGATGGCCTGATGAAAAGAGCATGACTGAACTGGATTTAAATTATTCAATAGATGCAGTGAGGGTCATCTTTAATGATATGTTCTCGTACCATTTGAAATTTTCTTGGGGACGTAGAATCCCTAAGATTAAGGAACACAAAGACCACTCAGGTAATATTCCTCATAGAAAATATCCTTTTTCTTTTGCTAATTCAACATTAGTTACATGTGTATATGATAGGAGAAGTGAAATGAACCATGCAAACCCACAATGTATTTCCATTCTTAGTTGAACCTATATTTCTAAATACATTTTTCATTAAGACTTTTAATTTTCTATTACTTCTATATTACTGCTAAACCAGCCTTAATAAAAGGCTCTTCTGTAGTAATTCCCAAATTTAAAAAAAATTAGTGGATTTTTTAGGGGTATACAATAAAAAGAGCATACCTCAACAAAAGCATTCTGATGAGGAGAATTATAAAATTGAGTGAAAAGTCACTGTTAGTTCGTCTTATACATATTAAGAAAGAAATTCTGGTGCATTCTTTCTTGGTTGCAGTCTACAGACCTCAGTGGAGTTTTGCCATATACTACATTTCTGTGAATCTTAAATGCTTTTAGGAACACTTGAAGTTTTGACTTCAAATAACCAAGAGCATCCCATACTATCATAAAGGATGTGTTCAACTTTTCTTATAGCTCACTGTCAAGCAGTGGATGAAAAAATCACCTGTGAAAGTTCTGTGTTTTGGGAGAGAGGTTTTGTAGCTTTTCAAGCTGCCATTAATGCTGCTATCATAGAAGTGAGTACCAACATTTAAGGAAAAATAATTTCATTATAATAAAATCACAGATTGTTCTATAGTTTATTCACCTCATAAATTAGGCACAATACAACAAGCAATTTTTATACTCAAACCATTGTGCAAAGTGTTGAAGAATGGAAAATAAGCACAGGGCAGATACTTTTATCCAGAGATACTGTGATGAGGGAGGTGGAAATACGATATGTAGCCATAACAAGGGCTCTGTAATGAGATTTTAAATGATGTTCTAGGCAAACAATGAAGCAAATTTACATATTTTAGAAATATCAGCAAAGATTTTCTATTTAAGTGTCATTTCAACCAGTCTCAAAGTGTAATGAATTTTTAAATTTGTTTTTAAATTTTATTTTAAAAAGCAAAACAGAAAAAAGGAAAAAAATACAGAATTTCAAGAAGTTGTAAGAAATTAACATGAATTAATAAATTACATATTGTTATCCTAGAAGAAGTTGTTCAGGTTACAAGACCTAAGCATAAAAAATGATCAAACAATGAAGTTGAACTTTTTTTCCAAGGAATATAGTAAGCAAAGGAGTTCTAGGGGCCAATATATGAAGGTATAATTAGCCTATATATTTACCTGTGATATGTACATGATATTTACAATCAGTAAGAAAGACCATGAAGTTGTTAACTAGATTGCGATCATTTTTCATTAATATCTTTCTTCAGCTCGCGGTGAATCATTCAGTAATGGAAGCACTGATGTCAGTTACTGGGGTGAACATGAAGATACCTCCTTTTATTGCTCAAGGAGGAATTGCAACGGATTTTTTCATTTTCTTCTGCATTATTTCTTTTTCTTCACTTATATATTACTTATCAGTCAGTGTTTCAAAAGAAAGAAAATACCTTAAATCACTGATGACAATGATGGGCCTTCGAGAGTCAGCATTCTGGTAAATCATACGCCTACAATCCATTGTTCAGCAAAGACAGACTGGCTCTGCCAAATAGTCTCCTAGGATCTATAATATAGCGTATTTAGGTTAGATGCTTTCATAAAGTGGTGTGTGATAGATGAGTGAGATGGATGGGTCTATTCATTTGTTAAGTAGAACCTTCTTATTTCTCGGAATCTAAAGAAATGTATGTGCCTTGTAGATGTCTTCTGATCCTCAGGGTACTGACCAGACATGGAGTTTTCAGTTACGAGTAAACACAGAAGAAGTTAAGGTTTCCAGTGTGCAATGAAATATATATTTCAGATATCATTTAAAAGTGGTGCCTAGTTTCCACTCCAGGTTGAACGGATCATCAATTTTATAACACTGAGAAAAGAAAGCATCATGCTTTTCTAGCATTGAGCTGCCCTGGGTAAAAGAGTGCCGCTGAGTGCTAAGAAGACAGGCCTTGGCGAAAAGAAGCCGGGGTGTCTCCTCCTCAGCGTTAGTAGGTCCTGCCTTGCACAAATTACTTCCACTCTTGCAACTTCAATTTTTTGTTTTCTAAAATATTGACCACGTTATTTATTTCTCGCTGGTCCTGAAGATTAAAGAAAGAAATGTATTTCAACTTCTTCACAGAATGCTTAGGAAATGTTATTCCATAAAACTTTGGGATACAGTAAGTCCTGAGAAGATTGCAGATGCAAGCTAGGACACTAAGGTCTGATCAGTGAGTGTGAAATATTCTGAGTGCAGAAATAGAGAAGACAGATTGTTAATCTGCTCTACAATGGGAGTTTTTCCTATTGTCTTTCTTTCCTGTCTTAAAGTGTTGTGTCTCTATATTGAAGGAAATTGTCGTCATTATATTCTAAAAGATAATGAAAATCTACGAAGAATTGGGGGGAAAGTAACTAATATGATTTAAGAAAAATCCAAATAATAATATAACCCAAAATGCAAATAACAAAGGATTAAAAAGTCAGGGCTTTTATTCCTTCCCATGATAAAAGGCTTAGTTGTTTTATTTGTACAGCATTTGCATGATATTAGGAGGAGGCTTACAAAAGCACATACATGAATAATTTCCAGAGAATAAAGTATATTACAAAAATGAAAACATTACAACTGAGCATTAATAATTATACTTCAGGGACAGGTGAGAGAGCTCACATCTGTAATTCCAGTTATTCCGAAAGTTGAAGCAAGAGAATCATAAATTGGAGCCTGGCCAGGACAATTTAGTGAGACACTGTCTCAAAAAACAAAGAAATAGCACAAAAGTATAGTTTAACTCTGGTGGTAGACCAGTTGTCTAGCTAGAGGCCAGACTTGGATTCATATACAATGAAAAAGAGAATAAAATAAAAATGACAAAACCAGACTTTCTAAAACATGCTGGAATTTTCTATTTTAACTAAAAGGGTTCAATGTGGACCCCTATAAACCAGTTGCAACATCAAATCCACAAGATACCTAATTTCATTTCACTATTAATTTCCAATAAGGAAAACTGATGTTCGAAGAGATTAACTAACTACCTCTCAGTTTTATCTAATTAGAGGTAGCAGAAAAAACTTGAATCCAGGTCTGTGCGATTAAAGGCTTATAGTCTTTCCCCTATACAAAATTTTATTTCTCTTTTTTCACATTAATAATAGGAGGAAAATACCACATCTTGATATCCATGTATTTATATGTGTCCATTTATATCCCCTTTGTATATCTGCATCTATATGTAATCATTTATATCAAAGGTTGGCAATTATGGCCTATATCTGTACAATCTCCAAACTAGAAGTGAATTTTCATAATTATGGTAAAAAATAAAAGAGTAGTAATGTTAGCAGTATGTGGAAGTGCATGCCTATAATCCCAGCTACTCAGGATCTGAAGCAAGAGAATCCCATGTTTAATCCCAGTCTGGGCAATTTAACCACCTACTAAGACCCTGCCACAAAATAAACAATTGGATTTGGAAATTTGACTCAGTGTTAAAATTTTGGGTTCAATCCCAGTACTGTAGAAAAGGAAAGAAAAGGCTTTCTGCCTCTTGCTTCAACATCTATTTTTTCTCTAGGTTTCTACAATTACTTTACCAAAAGAAGGTATCCAGAACTGACAAATAGTCATAGATATCTTTCTTGAAAAACTCCTCCTAGAGATTGCTCCTGTGGTATCATCCTGTTTATTTTTTGTTAATTTTTATTTAGCTATTTATGTTATCTGTTTATCTGCTTATTGCTTACCTTCCCCCATAATATATGAGCTTCTGAGTTGTTAAGCATCGCATTCTTTTCATCCCTGATAAATGATGAGGGTTGCAAATCTTTTGCTGAATACCCAAGTGAGTAAATGCAGTGACAGTGTAGCCTCATTCTGAGCTGAGTCTGTGTTTCTCTGTTAGGCTTTCATGGGGCTTCATGTATGCTGGCTTCATCCTTGTCATGGCTATTTTGATGGCTCTCATTGTAAAATCTACCCAAATGGTTGTGCTAACTGGCTTCACAGTGGTCTTCTTTCTCTTTTTCCTCTACGGCTTGTCTTTGGTAAGTTGGTGAATTTTTTCGCTTCTCTCCAATTATGTGGCAGTGATTTTGTTTTCATCTGCTGTGTTGTGTTTGCAGCATCTACACAAGACCTGTTTATGAACAGTTTCTAATCTATAGTAGATAAAATATACTTTTGTTTTATATTGCTTTGTTTCGGTTTTGGCAATGCAAAGGATCAAACTTGGGGTCTGGGACATGCAACACAAATACACATTTATATATTGTATTAATCAGCTTTCGGTCACTGTAACAAATGTCTGAAATAGTTTGTAAGAAAGAAAGCTCTCTTTGGGGTTCCAGTTTTGGTGATTTCTGGGCCTAAAGTGCGGCAGCACATGGCAGATCAGAACTGCTCACTTCATGGTGTGGATGTGAAAAATAGAGAAAGGGAAAGGGATTCAGGCCCTACAATCCTGTTTAAGCATCTTCCTCAGTGAGCAGAAGACCTCCCACTAGATTCTACCTCTATTGGGCAGGGGAACAAACCTTCACCATAAGGGTCTTTCAAAGATAATTACCCAAACATAGCCAGCATGAAATGCCTTTTATTGTGCTACCAATAGTTCTCCAAGCATTAGACCAGCTAATTTTTTTTCTCCTCTCAGATAACTTTGGCTTTTTTGATGAGTGTGTTGATAAAGAAGCCTTACCTCACTGGTTTGGCCATCTTTCTCCTTATCATTTTTTGGGGCAGCCTGGGATTCACAGCATTGTACAGACATCTTCCAGCAACTGTGGAATGGACTTTATGTCTTCTTAGTCCATTTGCTTTCACCACTGGAATGGCCCAGGTAAGAGTTAAGGTAACTGTTTTACTTATTATGAACCTTTATAAACATATACCTTCAGTAATACATGCGACATGTACAAAGAATTAACATTTCCCCTGATGCTTTCATAAAAATAAACACTTAAGGTCTACAAGCTTTCATTTTTCTTTCTCAGCATAATCGTTTGCTTGTAAAGTTATTAATTATGGGGTGGTATTCTATGGTTGATGTGATTCAGCTTCTATTCCTAATTGATTGTCCCAATGAACATTTGTATGATTTGAATTCAGGAAGCATAATACTTAACATCATTACAAATATCTAAAAACCAAAAATTTGGAATAAATAATCTTTTACTTAGTCATTTCTAACTGAAACAAACTCTTCTCATAAAAGTTAATTTTAGTTATGTCATCATAACTATAAAATGTCAAAGGAGGAGTCAGGGGTATAGCTCAGTGGCATGGTGTCTACCTAGTGAGAGCAAGGTTGTAAATTTGATCCTAAGTACAAGAAAAAAAAAGCCAAAGGAAAGGTTACGAAGGTTAGTTACATTACTTGTAAGTAACGTTAGCATAGTCCAATAAAAAATTATCCTTTTTTCTTCTGTGTAAGAACTAAAGTATTTTCACTTTTCTGTGTTTTCACTCTGAAATGAACACTCGTCTCTAGAATAATCTCTCTTTACTCCCAGTTCTAATCCTGATGAGTCTAGTAGGTCCAGTTTAAATACTACTTTCTTTGTGTGTTTACCTTCTCCTAGAATTTTTATGTACTGTTGCCTGTGTTTTGTAGCTAGATAAGTTGATTGATATGCATTATTGTAGATCTGAGCTCTGTAAAAATACATTTGTGATTTATTCATCTTTGCTATCCCAGTGTCTAACAGAAATGAGACAATAATTCTCAATGTATGCTAATCCTTTATTAATTCTTTTTTACAGCTTATACATTTGGACTATGATGTGAATTCTAATGCCCATTTGGATGCTTCAAACAACTCATATATAATAATAGCTACTCTTTTTATGCTGGTTTTTGATACTTTCCTCTATTTGTTATTGACATTATATTTTGACAGAATTTTTCCCAGTAAGTAATACAACTGTAATTCAACACAATTTCAGTGAGTGAATTTATTTAAAATAAGTGTCTGCAATGTTTAGACTATAACTTAACTAAAATTTCCATCAAAAATTTCTAAAACAAATCTGAAAACATTCTGTACTTAGTTTATAGAGTCACTGTCAAAGACTTCATTATGACATTTTGATTGTTTCCTTTTAAAAGAGGCACTTAAGAGATTATGTATAATTTATGTTGCTAATGCTAGATGTAGGAATTAGATGAAGAATTATGGTTCTTGATACTCAGAAGTTTTTACGGGTTTCCCCACTGAACACACAACACAGACATTGGTGCTTGTTAATGAAAAGTAACTAAATATTGAACATATAATCTCTCTTATAGAGAAAGAGATTCTCCACTTGTGCATCCTTGGAGTTCATTTCTGGGTTCATACCAGATAAATGTTAATGTGTCTGAACAAATTGAAGTATTAGATTTAAAGTCCTCCTAAAGCATCTCAGTCTGCTTTGAAGATATTTTTATTTAATTTGTAATGCTGCACCCCACTCAAGTTAGAAGCACCATATCCGATGGTGACATCTCAGTTATTTTTTCCTGTTTTGAGTATGAGCAAAGCATGCTATAACAGCTGTACTATAAGGTAGTAATGTGGGTTCAGGTTTAAAAGCAAAAGGATTGCCTGGATATGCTTCCCTAAGGTGACTTGAAGTTCTTCAAGTGGTGAATAACCTAATGTTCAATTGCCTCTTGCCATGTAGCCAAATATGGACGTCGACATTCTGCCATGTTTTTCCTGAAGTCCTCCTTTTGGTGTCAACATCGAAAAGCTAATCACGTGGCACTTGAGAATGAAATAGATTCTGATCCTTCACCCACTGACTCTTTTGAGCCAGTGTCTGCAGAATTCCATGGAAAAGAAGCCATCAGGTAACACACCCCCAGAGAGGCAATGGAAAGCAAACCAGGGGCCAGGGATTCATTAACAAAGCTCTTCTGTCCATGTTCTGCCATCTGTCCCCTTTTCCCCAACCTCTAACCAGTCCAGTGCACTCGAGAAAGGCTGCTGTCACTCTTAATCACACTGCTTTTCCACACTCTCAGCACTTACAGTCATTAATATCTGTAAAACAGCAATACCACCAACAAATAAGTAATATGTGCATTTGTTTTTCTTGCTGTCTCTCCTGTTTCTCCTTTTTATGGTTTTTTCTCCCTCCCTCTGCTACTCCTTCTGTGATGACAAGGCCATGTCTCATTTGTTATTTTTACCCCTTTTTCTCTGTGACTCCCTTGGGCTCTTCCCTTCATAGCTGATACAGTGAAAACAAAAAGATATTGCAAAAAAGGGGAGAGAGACATTCCAGAGAGATAGGAAGGAACAGGAGAATTAGGAGTGCTAGTGCCTTTCTCTCAGAGACAGTGTACATGCTTTGCTCAAAGTTGAGTGCTTTGACTTCCAAACAGTGAGCAATCCCTAAGATCTTAGATCTCTGCTCAGATTTCATTCATCATTCAGTGTTGTGCTCATCTCACTCCTCATCAGAACCTTTCTGATCTACATCTACCTCTCTTATGTTTGGGCACTGAAGGTTTACAAAACTTAATAGTCTAAATATTTAATTTCTACAACCACAGGTATAATATGAACAGACAACAAAGAGGTGTACTCTCTCATTCCTCACGAGCTGGTATTGTGTTCTCAGTGACTGTGATCTCCCTCCAAATGGACCGTTACATTTTTAGTTCTCTTCTATGTCAAGGAAGGAATCAGACTGTATCAGAGCAGTAATAGCCTTAAATATGGAGAGAAGGCATTTGTATTTACTCTGTAGGTAAAGAAAAGGGTAGTGAAGTTTCGTGCACTTCAGGTAACAAGACTAGTCCTGTGCTCCAAAAGGTGATCGCTAGCAATGAGTGGAATCATTGGAAGCAGAGTCTCACATATTGACTGTCAGGCTAGAGAAGAAGTTTTTGTCTATACTTGAGAACCCAAGGCGGTCTGCCTGCTTCATTTGCAGTGGTGTGTTCAACTTCCACAAAGCAGTTGATTGTTGCAAAGCTTCATGTCTATCTATCCTTTGTCCTTCACTCTGGTTCACTATCAGCTCTTAACATAGAAAGCAGAAGAATGAACTGTCAATTGAAATGCAGTCCTGTACTAACCACAGAGTAGCATCTACTTAACCTAGAATCTAATACCCCAAACACTGAGTTCCACCAAAACTTATGGAAAAAGCCCTACATTCTTATTGTTTAGACAAAATGAAGGGATAATGCAAACAGACACATATGATTGCCTGTAAAAGAAAATATCAGGAAAGAGAGATCAGGAAAACCCAAGCAACTTACCCAAATTCACAGAGCTTAGGAAGATAGACATCCAAACTGCATGTACCCACTTCAAGGTTACGGCAACTCAAGGACCACCTTCTCCATAGTCTCTTCCATACCAAAGTGGATGTTACCTCCCCTGTGGATCCAGTTGTGTCCTTTCAAAATGCATGCATTGAAACCTTGTAATGGAATTTGCAGATGAGGTCTTTGGGAAGTAATTAGGGGTAGACAAGCTCATGAAATGAGGGATCTTCATGATAGCATTACTCTGTTTATAAGAAGAGACACAAGAGAGGCATATGACCATCAAGAGAGGGCACAACAAAAAAGTAGCTTCTACAAGTCAGGAAGAAAGCCTTCCTCAGAAGCCATGAGCAATAAACTCTGCCATTTAAGCTACTGAGTCTCTGATACTTCATTAGAACAGACTAAGCAAAAATAATACCGCCTAAGTACTAATTGCTGTGATAATGTAAGAAAGTAAAGCAAATAAAATGCACTAAATCTGGCTTAAAGTAGACCTTAGACTCACTCCAAATCTCTTCTATGTGCTCTTTTCTAAAAACCTGTCTTCTCTGTGTGTGTGTGTGTGTGTGTGTGTGTGTGTGTGTGTCCGCGCGCGTGCACACACGCACGATTTTGGTTGAACCAAAGGCTTTTGCACTGAGCTACATCCCAGCCGTTTTTATTTTTTATGCTTTTTAAAATTTTAAGTCAGGCTCTTGCTAAATAGTTGTGTTGCCTGGGTTGGGTTCAAACTTCCTTTCTCCTGCCTAAACCTCCTGGAGATCTGGGGTTACAGGCGTGAGCCACCACATCCATTTTAAACCTTTTTGCTCTAAACCTTCCTTCTTGTTGAATTCTACTTTCATTGTTTGGTGGAGAGAGTTTTACTATGTCTCAAGCAGCTTGCATGTATTATCTTATTTGCTCTACAAATTATCCCTCTGTGATAGTTAAAGCTGTTATCCTGGCTTGACTGCTGAAGAACTAAAAACACTAACTTCTGAGAATCTAGTGTTTATAATAGAGCTACCAAGTGACACAGTTAGTATTAAATACAGAGTAATTTAATTCCAAAATCTTAATTTTTCTCCTTTGATGTCGGGGCTGCATTTTTTTTTCCACCATAGCATCTCCTAACCATTGGTTTCCTTTCCAGCTTCTGGATTCTCCATTCATCTGTCATAACGTTCACAGCTATATGTTTCTGCAAACTAGCTACCTTCTCCACTTGTAGCCCACTCGAATGGAGGCTACAGTGATGGAGGGTGCTTCTTCTTCAGTCATTGCCTGTGTAAACCAAAAGCATCCTCATATTTTCTTGCAGCTTCAAAGTGTTGACTCACAGTTTCCTCAGATGCTTTCCTTCTTTTGCAGAATCAAAAACCTTAAAAAAGAATACAAAGGACAGCGTGAAAAAGTAGAAGCTTTGAAAGGTAATAAACATATTTACTTAATATGGCTTTTTGGCTGGGTGACTATACCTCACTTTTGTACCACTTTGATAGTAATGAAGGACAGATATTCTAAATATTATGACTCAATTTTATTAAAAATATTATTTGAAAGTAAATGAAAAATCATAGTTACTTTTAAAAGTAGGATGTACTATTTAGAATCTTATGGATTTGACAGATAGATGAGAGCATCATAGACTTCTTTATTTTCAATTAATCATATGCTTTTGTTTTGAAACTGTCTTTCCTATTGTCAGCCTCTTTTTAAGAACAAAAATCCTGTCATCAAAAAAATTGTTAATCACTTAGTGGCATATCTTAGAAGATACTATAACTTGAAAATATTTATCATATGAGATACAATTTAAAAAGGAGAAATCTTAAGATTGATTGTATTTTGAGTATTTATTCTGTAAGAAGCACACACATTTCAGAGACTGTAAACTTACCATATAGGCTCTGAGTGTAATTTTTCTGAAATCATGCCAGGTCTGCTACTTGACATATATGAAGGTCAGATCACTGCCCTCCTTGGTCACAGCGGAGCTGGAAAAACCACTTTGTTAAACGTACTTAGTGGACTGTCGGCCCCAACATCAGGTAGGAGGACAATTATCTAAGGATAAGTTCAAGAGCAAATGAATTATCTTAAATAGTCTCATTAGCTGTTTGTTATATCAAGTAGTTAAGAGAAAAATTTTAGAAATTTCTTTAAATATTATACAATATATACATTATATGGTACTTTTTTAGTATGTATAATTTGGTGCTTATATTTATCAGTTTAAAAAATAATTCCAGGTGTTCCTTCAAGTTATTTTTATGGAATTCTATTGCATTTGTTTAAGAGACTGTTGCCTTTTAAATATTTTGTTAATGGTTTTATGATATTCAGTTCCTGACTGGCATTCCTGCTGGATCAGAGGTTCTTCTGAACATTAAATTTTTAGTCAGTCAATGGTATATTGCTTACAGGTAGAATATGTTTAAGCGGACCTAGTAATTTACATATATAATTTCCCACTTTAAAATACCTTCAGTGCAGCATTGCGTTGCTCTGATGGCAACTCTCTACTTCGCAATTACAGGTTCTGTCACCATCTATGGTCACAAGCTTTCAGAAATGGCTGACTTTGAAACTCTCAGCAAACTCACTGGAGTCTGTCCTCAATCCAACGTACAATTTGGCTTTCTCACTGTGAGAGAAAATCTCAGGCTGTTTGCTAAAATCAAAGGGATTCTGTCACATGAAGTGGAACAAAAGGTATATGAGCTGTCGCACAGCCATGAAAATGAAATGGCTTAGCTAGAAAATTCTAAATGTACTGTGTTCTCTGTAAAGAATTCCTCATCTGAAGCCTAGACAAAAAGACCTTCTTTAAGGACAGAAAAAATAATATTGTTTTCCAAATGAACACTTTAGATTTTGGACTAAATGCTCTTTATTTGGTTAGGTACAGCAAATTCTACGGGACTTAGAGATGGAAAATATTCAGGACTTTCTTGCTCAAAATTTAAGTGGTGGTCAAAAAAGGAAACTAACTTTTGGGATTGCCATTTTAGGAGATCCTCAGGTGAGTTGAAGTAAAACTATTGGTGAAATCAAATTTAAGAGTATGGAACTATCGTATTAGATCAGACAATTTACAGACAATAAGAGAATTTTTCAGTGAAATATTAAGTACTAAGTCGCTTCTCCTCAGTACTATTACAAGTACAGTGCTTTTTAGGGGAATCTTACAGGACAGGAAAAAATTATTTTATGTTCTTTCTACTGTTCAGGTTTTGCTATTGGATGAACCAACTGCTGGATTGGACCCTCTTTCAAAGCACCACATATGGAATCTCCTGAAGGAGAGGAAATCAGACAGAGTAATTCTCTTCAGCACCCAGTTCATGGATGAGGCCGATATCCTAGCTGGTAAGTTTTGGTTTTCATACAACTGCCTTAGTGAGAAATTAGGAACACGTACCGAATGTAACTAGATATGCTCCATAATGCCTATCTCACTCGTCACTTTACTAGTGAGGATTTTGCATGTTAGTATCCCTGAGTACTTTGTCCCATGAACATATTCTAGTTCAACAGCACAACAGTAGAAGTTGCAAAATATCCAGTACAACTTCAGAAACACATTGCTTTTTTTACTCAGTGGAGATGTCAGTTGGCTTGAAACACATTGTCTACATGGTTGATAACTTTTCTAAATATGCTAGAAAATCAATAAACATAATTTATCATTACAATTTTGGATGACAAGGGAAGTGTTTTACATATGGCAAAATTAGAATATCTGTTTTAGTATATCATACTTCTAAAATACAGTATTTCTTCATGGATTCACATAAATAGTGATGAAATAATTCCTTAATACAATTTCCATTTTGGTTCTTATAACTAGATAGGAAGGTGTTTATATCCCATGGCAGGCTGAAGTGTGCTGGTTCTTCTCTGTTTCTGAAGAGGAGATGGGGCATTGGCTACCATTTGAGGTATGGTTTGTAGTTCTGGTGACATATTGAGCTATGTTGAAAATGCCAGGGGTAGTGAGATTGTGGGCACTGAAGATATAAGGCTGGTTAATCTAGTTTTAAATAAATGTTGGGCAAAAACTTTCATAACATGCTCTTTGTTAAGAGTAATTTATGGAGATTTGAACATTTTCTCTTGCTATATGTCAGAAGTACATTTTTGTTCATCATGACAGTTGCAGTAGTCTCTCTTTAGTCTTTCTGACTTCAGTTTTTTGGGGGGACCATTATTTTCTGTGTCCTTTTACCCTGTTAATAATTATCATCATAAGTATAATCTACTACTTATTATATGTTGACTATATTTTAGATACTTGCTATGATATCTAAATGCAGAATGCTCATATTACCCTATTAAATTCTACAAATAAATTTAAGAAGATGCTGTTATTACCCTTCTTTGACAAATAAAACTAGAACTTGCTGGAGTTTTAGTAATCCACCAATTGCATATTGTTTGCAAGTGGTAGAGTCTTTAGATCAAAATAAAAATTACTGTATTTCCTACTAAACCGCTGACTTTTGAAGCAATTTAAGTCACTCTCCCCAGTGGCTAGCTGGACCTCATATTTATGCTGAGTGCTTAACCTGATCAGATCTATATCCCATCATTATGGCTTGCCACTGTTGAATTATTTTACACTCTCAGCTAAACAGGAGTATTTGCAATTGTTCTCCAGAATGTCTCTTCTTTATGCTTGAAGGGGAGATATCTATCTAAAATGTTCTCCTCTAGATCATTTAACCATGTTCAAATCTTACCTGCTCTTGAAGGTTATTGCCAAGTGTTTTCTCATTAGTGGCACACTAGCTTTTGCTAGAAATTCTTTATACAAAAATGATGAAATTATACAACAGTATAATTTCACTAAGTAAGAACCATGTTCTTAATGACTGTTCAAATTATGTCCCTTTTTGCTTTATGGTGCTGATGTCCATAAATTCTGACAGCACTTGTATGTACAGTACTGCATAGGGAAAATTCAAGTTTGTGTTTTTGAATAGAGACAAAATCAAGCATTAACCTCTATCTTACTCCAGCCAGGATTTTGATGAATATCCCTTACTCCAAATTACAGTCTTTGAGTTAGCTTATCTGACTATACTTGTCTCTTTTATTAGTTCATCTACCATGTTGAATAAAGATAATCAGACTATATTGTTATTAGTACATCTTTTCTTACAGTAAATTATACATGTTCAGTCTCATAATTAGTGAAGTGACAAGCATACAATACATAGTAAAGAATTTGTCTTTAGAGAGTATTAAATAAAAATAATATTAACTCACTCTTATTTAAATATTAGTTTACATCTGAATGAAATGTGTGATCCAGAAAGTGTGACGTCACTGGTTAAAGAGCACATCCCTGATGCAAAACTAACAGAGCAAAGTGAAGAAAAGCTTGTTTATGTTTTGCCTTTGGAAAGGACAAACAAATTTCCAGGTAACAATGTGTAGAGACCACAGAATGACTTGGGAATGGAGTTATTAGCAATAGCAGTGCTGATAAGAATGATGTCTGGATTTGATGCCTTCTAAGGCTAGAGCTCTGTGCGTTAACTCATTAGTACTCCCCATGCCAAGTCACTTCTCATTTCAGTTCCTGACATTATTCCCGTGTTCCTCAGGTGTGAACTAAAACACAAAGGCGAATATGCTTCAAACGGTGCAATTTAGTGACACAAGGCAGAATCAAGCTAAAGAATTATTTGGGAAAGTTGTTTCAGGAATGGATGGGAAAAAGTGGTTGGTTAGGGCAGGACGTATATGTGAAAACAGGGTAGTTACTGAAAGAGAGTTAAGGAGTTTCATGTACAATATGTAGATTTATAAACAGCATAATGTAAGGTTATCTAAGTATCAAACAGAACTGTGACTGGCATGTTAGTAAACATTCTAAAATTTATACTTTTGCTCTACATATAAAAGCCTGAAGGGTTACTGAATTTACCACTTTTCCATTGCATCTCCCAGTAGGTTGTTTGCCAATGTGCTCCCAAGAGTTTCAAATAGATAGTTTATAAAAATGTATTTTAATAACTGAATTCAAGGTCAACTCTTACTGGAGGATGCTGGAACCACTGTGGCAGACTTGAATAAGCCATACTCATGGTCTGTAAAGAAATAACACCAGGCAACAAAACACAGGTGTCTCACAGAGATGTTCATAAATCTACATATTACATATGAATCCCTTAAACCATCTTTCAATGCAGCACAAGTGCCAGGACCAGAAGACCTAGCTTCAAAGCCTACCTGTGCCTTTATCAGCCATACGGTCCTGAGTATGGTATACTATTTTTCTGCACTTCAGTTTCCTCATTTGTAAAATGGGAGTGATAGTGATAATCTTTATCAAGCTATTGTGCTGGTTGAATTATTTAATACATTTAAATGTATTGTTAAAATATTAAATATAAAGAAACTACCTAGAATAATGCCTAACATGCAATACCTATATTTCATAAGGTTAAGATACCCTGAACTATGATGTACCAGGAAGCAAGAAATAGAATAAAAGTAACACTGCCATTTATAATAATTTGTGATCCGTCTTCATCTTAGATATGTTGAAAAATGCTCAAAAGTGCTCATTTTGAAATAAGGATAATCTTAGAGACATTCATAATATTTTTGATATAGATGTATAATTACAGGAAGAAAAACTCAGAATAAAAAAGACCACACAGCACATTTTTACCTAATCATTTATTAAATACTTTGTAGAGGGAATGAGCAATTTAGACAAAGACTGGAAAAGGAGCGTCCTACAGGTGGATGTCAGAACTTTGCTAAAAATCATGATTGATTCTCCAGTTTATGTAGAACATAATTTAAATAGAAGCTTTACTTACCATAGTACATATTTTGTCCTTCTTTTAATTCATATATTTTTTAAAACTAGGGGAGATTAGTGGCAATTCTGTAAACATTATTTCTTTTATGTTTATTGTTACTACACTTTCTTAACAATCTTAGCATGACAGTATGAATTTCTATTCTCTGAAAATTCTCTAAATTACTTGGAGTTTAGGATTAAACATTCCTTTGTAGAGGAATGGTGGAACACACCCATAATCCCAGCACTTGGGAAGCTGAGGCAGAAGGATTGATGTGAGTTCAAAACCAAGCTGGGTAACATAGCAAGATCCTGTCTCAATAGTAATTAATTAATTAAAAAATAAGAATTAAATACTTCCTTTGATATTACAAAATTAAAAAGTATGTTTATAAAATATTTTTTGGAAAATCTTTTGTTATTTTCTAAGAATACAAAATGAATTTTTAGATTAGAACTTTATACTCAAGAGGACATGGAAGTTAATGCACTATAGGTATATTTTAGAAATCAGGGATCATCTATATCACAGTTTGTTTCTGTTGAAAAGTGCAGTTTATCACTAATATGTTCTTTTTTGACAAATATAATTATCAATATCATAAAGTATGTTTTCTGATCTTTTAGATCTTTACAGAGATCTTGATAGATATCCTAACAAAGGCATTGAGAGTTACGGTATCTCAATGACAACTTTGAATGAAGTGTTCCTGAAGTTAGAAGGAAAATCAACTATGGATGAATCAGGTAAGAAATATGGATGGAAAGAAAAAAATCAAGAAAGCATGAAGCAAGAAGATGAAAGGGAAGGGGAGGGTGAGAGGCAGGAAAGTTGAATTTTATTTTTTATCTTGAAAAATCTATTTTGAGTAGTGCAGTTCTATACCCTTATTGGTATTGGTCTTGGGAAAACTCAAAGCAGAAAAAAATTTTATTGAATACAGCATTATATCACACTATATCTTCAGGAAGCAGAAAATAAGTATAAAATATCATGTTACCTGAATATTAGTAATATAAAGAAAAGAAAATTAGAATTTATGTTGACAGTTACTTTTCTTGTAATATTTTAAAATTATTATTCCAGTGATTTCAGGGTTCAGTTGTTGCTGTAGAAAGGTCTCTGGTCAGTTTGTCATTCCTTAAAAAGTGTTATGGTGTTGTCATTGTTGTTGTTATCTGATTACTGCTAAGGCATTTTCTTGAGTTTGGTTTACTGTCTTCATTGTTTGTTTTGTCGTTCTTACAAAACTGATCAAGTATACTTCAAATTCACTTATAGTCCCTCCTTTCCTCTTGACTCCCCTTTTAATGTCATATGTTTGGTACAATTTTTGGCAGTTTTACTTAACTTTGTTGTGTCCCTGTGCTGGAGCTGACTCCCAGAGTCTTTGTGATGCTAAAGAAGCACTCTACCACTCAGCTACAAGCCACAAGATTTCCTTTTATTGCAGCAATTCTTTTTGCTCCCCTGCAACTTCCTCAGTAGTTGGTCTAATAATGCCATGAATTAGATTACTTGTATTTTTTTCCAAGATACTAAATCAGGAATCTTTGGTTGGAAAGATGATCATAGGAAAAGTTAAATAAAGCACACCTGAAATGGCATTTTTTAAATGACAGATTTTATGTTTTAGATATTGCAGTTTGGGGACAATTACAAAATGATGGGACAAAAGACACGGCAAGCCCTGTTGAGATGGAGACAAATCTGGATGGAGATTTGTCTTCTCTCCATGTAACCAGCAGAATAGCAGGTGGCATGACATTGTGGAGGCATCAGCTCTGTGCAATAGCAAAAGTTCGCTTCCTGAAGTTAAGGAATGAGAGAAAAAGCCTTTTGGCCATGTGAGTCTGAATATTTCTGATTTGTTTGATCTGGGCTCTCAAATTAAACGCAAGAGGGTAAAACATAAAAAGAACACTCAGATAAAATGAAGTCCAGTAATTGCAGGTGGTCTTTTAAACAATAGCTCTTAATTGTTTACTTGTGTATAATTAAAACCTATAAAGACTGAGATTATTTTAATTTCATACAAGTTTTTTCTTTCAAATGAGCTTCAGTAAAATCCCATCCCATCCCAAAGATTCTTTTCTCTCTTTATCCAAGTGTATCAAATCCTTATTTCTATGTATTTTCCAGAGAAATGCAACCAGTAGGGCAGACAGATACAGATATAGATATTTAGAAATATATGTAGACAGATATATCTAATTATATATAACATAAGTAATATATAAAGTGTACATATAAATCTAACTATATTATAATTAGATTATATAATTACATTATAATTAGATTATTATAACTAGACATAGGTATGTACAATTCATTTTAAGATATTGAGTCATACTGCCACAGGGACTGGCACATCTGAAATCCATAAAGCAGACCAGGTGGCTGGAAACTTACGTTAGACTTGATATCATAGTTCTCAGGCTGCACACGCAGATAGAATACACAATGTTACAGTTTTGAGGCTCTATGAATTTCTATTTTAGTGTCACAGCTACATCTGGAACCCACTGCAAGGTTCATACATATGCCTACAGCCTCAGTAAATGCTTAATTTGTGCCTAAGCCTAGCTCTACAGAAGTTATTCACTCATCCAAAGTATTTTTATTTTGAGCACACTTATATGGAACTCTATTGTCAAGTGTTTATACATATAGTAAAATAAATCAGCCAAGAAAGTTGTATTAGTTGGCTTTTCATCACTATAAGTAAACACCTGTGACAACTCATAAAGAGAAAAGGTTTATTTTTGTTCACAGTTCTGGAGGTTCTAGCTCCAGATCAAGGTTCCATAATCTGGTGAGGATGACACATCACTGAAGGAAGGCGTGGTGAAACACATCGTGTACATCATGAGCCAGGAAGCAAAGAGGGAGAGACCAAAATCTCACAGTTCCCTTCCAGGGCACAGCTCAGCAGCCTAATGATACAGCATACAGCCTACCTGACAGTTCACTGTCTCTCAGTAGTGCACTCTGGGTACTAAACCTTTACCATACGGACACTGGGTGATATTTGACCCACAAACTATAGCAGCACTGTTTCCAAAACGTTGATTATATATAGACTAAAGAAGTACAGTAAAAAAATTAACAATCCTGTGACCTATGGTATTTAATAGAAAAGACATTATTTCAAATACAGAAAAAAGGGCTCATGGAGTGTTTGACTTTGGTCCAGGAGAATGGAAGTTGTTGAACTAAGCAGAGATAGACTTTCGGACAGGTAGTCATAGGGAGCATGCATACACATGGCAACTGTTCTAATCCTAGTTCATTACTACCTAGAACAAATATTATTTTAAGAATATGGTATATAGTGACAAGGGGTTTGGTTTTTAAGGACCTATTAAAATATCATTTTGTTAGAATAAAATACAAGATGATTAATGAACAATGCTGCAAAATTGTTTGGGAATAGTAGGAATTGGTTAAACGAAAATAATCATTAAAGTAATAGTGATGTTAGAAAAGAGACAATAATCTCTAACTTGAAAAGTAGAAATGAGAAGAATATTTTGGAGGAGAGGTGGTCTTTTAAACAATAGCTTGTAACTGTGTACAATTAAAACCCAAAAATTTTACACAGAAATTTTCAGCCATTGGAAAGGAGACTTCATGGACAAAAACAAATGACAAATTACTGAACTTTGAATATTAAATGAGCGAAAAGATAATGCAACTTGCATAAATAGGAAACAAGATGGGGAAAATATTCAGAGTGTGGGGACACACCAGGTGGCTGTGGTGCAGTTAAAGGCAGGTCTGCAGGACTGAAACGGAGCTAAGAAAAGCCTTGGAAAGAGGTTTAAACGTCATAATAAGCAGACTTCACAGGACGAAATGAAATGTCCCAGGCAGAACTAAACAGCTAGGAAGAAGAAAAGACAAAAGATAGATGCACAAGAACGTGTTAGTTTCAGAGAGAGGGAAGAGCATGATGAAAATATTTTAGTACTTGCTGTTTATTTCCATTATGATACCCATCCATTGTTCGCTCAAAACTAATAACCTAGAAAGTTGCTATAGATGAGTGTTTCTTTTCTATCTTCTCCACATAGGTTGTTGCTTTTAGGGGTTGGCTTTGTCCCTCAGCTGTTGGAATACCTATTCTATGAAATATACCAGAAAAGTTACTCCTGGGGACTCTCTCCAGATATGTACTTCCTTTCACCTGGACAAGCCGCAGCAGGTCCTCTGACTCATCTGCTGGTCATCAATAAAACAGGTGAACACCGGCGAAGACGCACCTTGTAGCTGTTTTTGACAGATTCCTATAAAACATAGAGAAAAACAATTTTGAATGTTTTAGAGAAATCTTTGGAGGCAAAATGCAAAGCTAATTAAAAAAAATAAAAAGCTCAACATTAAAGAGTTTGTTTTAGAAACAAATTCAAAGTGTACTTGAACCCAAAGGCTATGGCACAAAGTAACCAAAGGAAATGTAAACATGTAAATCATGTACTCACTTTTGAAGTCTTTCTGGTACATTTTGTAAGTCTTTGAATTGCTGGGCCCTGGAAAAATATTTGTTCCAAGTTGATAAGAACAGAGAAGATTATTCGTGCCAAGGATTGCAGTGTTAATTGGTTATGATTATTGTTGCTTCCTTTGTTGCTGATTAAAACCCATGGTCCTTATGCTCTAGTATAGAACTACATCACTAAACCTTAACTCTTTTTATACTCATAGAAATTGTAAGTAAATGCCAGGAAAGTTTGTCATGAGCACGGTAAAAGAGCAGTACCATAGCTCGTAAATCCATAGACAGTCATGATGGTAGATCTAGAGTGACACCATTGAATTTTTTGTTGTTTCTTTTTTTAAAAACAGTGCTTTATTTTTATGTTATTTGATCTTTACCCCCATGGTAGGGGCCAGCATTGAGAATTTTTTGCATTCACTAAGACGGCAGAACATAGCTTTGGAAGTGGACGCTTTTGGAACTAGAAACGGCACAGAGGAGCTATCTTACAATGGCGCCATCACTGTGTCAGGTGATAAACAGGTCTGTTAGCCTCTGCTACTGTTCCCCGAAGATGGGTTGTGAATGTGCAAGCTGAATAATTCTAGTAAACTGATGTAAAAGGCCAGTTTGACACAAATGAGAGGAGAAGTTGGGCTACAATAATTTGCCTGCAGCATTCAGGGTAGCAGTAACCATTTAACTGCAATGATAATGATTTATTTAACTATATAATAGGACCCCACTCCAGTAGTTAATTTAAGTCCTACTCTCACTTAACAACTGAGAACAACTGCCCAATGTAAGCTGGGCTTGCTTCGCTGATGTGTGTCACTTAGATCCTGCAGCAATTTGAGTTACAGAACACAAAAGTAGACTAATGGAAAAGATTAGATAGTTAATTTAATTGAGTAAATTTCCACTGGACCATTTGTAGTTCATCAAAGTTAATTTTTAGGAAAACATTTCCATGCCAAAAATAAACTAAGAAATTGCCTTCATCCAAACTAATTATCAGTCCCAGTGGAGTTAGTTCCAAGTGTGCCAACAAAAATAGCTTTCCAGAAATTTTGCTTTAGGTAAATGGGTGAGATACAATATATTTTGATTTATTTATGATTGCAAAAATATATCATTGATACCCGTATTTTCTGCAATGTAAATATTTTTTCCTAAGGGAGACATAGGCAAAAAATACACAGGCATATACAAAATGTATGTACTTACCTACATATGTATGTATAAAGGTTATATGTCATTTTAAGACAGATTTTACATAAAAGCTTAGTACTTGTTAAAACAAATGCTTTCTTTACAACTGCCTGCCTGCTTCCTCCTCCCCAATTATCTGCACATTCTTTATTTATAAAACAAATATAACACATTTGGAAACAAAGCAGCTAAAATTCATTTGAGGTACATTTTTTATAGGATTTTAAGCATAGGTAACCATGTAGCTGATATTCTGGTAGATAAAAATCACTGTTCCTGATTCTTTTAAATATACCGGAGATAAGTCAAATGGTATATCGGGCCTGGTGATATTAATCATATTTGTGCTTTGACTTTACTACTTATCAGTAGTCTGAATGCTTTTCTATCAACTCATTCCTCAAATTTCTCTTTGCTTTTTGCAAATTTAAAAATGTTCATTTTATTTTAGGATCCCAGATTTTCAATAGCCTGTAACACCAAGAGACTGAATTGCTTTCCCGTCCTCATAGATATTATTAGCAATGGCTTACTTGGAATTTTTAATTCTACAGAACACATTCAGACCGGTAGAAGCACATTTTTTGAAGTAAGTATAATATTATCTCTTTTACACTGAACCATTAGAAGATCTCAAAAATTACTTTGAAATACATAAATAATATGTTGATTCTTAGGAACCTGCCCTTAAAAAGGTTTGTGCTTTCTGTATGGCACCATATGTTGATATGGATATGGAAATGATTATAAATATTTGTTTAGTTGACCTAGAGTCAGGACAGCAACAGGAAGTACAAATATTTGGCAAAAATTCCACCTCTGGACTTAGACCTTTTACTCCTACAGCCCTACATACTAGAACATAGTAGAAGCAGGCAAAGTCCTCAAAGTCAAACTGTGGAACCTTAAACTGTTTGAATTCTGTAGGCTGTAGTGTACTAAACTTCAGAAAAAATCAGATAATAGCTTCATCACAAAAATTTCTCCTGAAATAAGTGAGGCAATATGAACATAAAGTACATATTACTATCAGAACTATTATAATGATTCCCATATTATAATCAATATAATAACAAGGAACAGCATGTAAACACAGAAAACCCTAAGTGCCCAGTAAATTATACTTATCATATTGTCATTATTTTTTCATTGTCATTATTTTATTATTTATATTCAAGATTTCATTATTAATTATTTCATGATTTTATTATTCATTATTTCATTATTATTACTATTGTCATTATTATTATTTTCCTTGTGAGTCTGTAAAAGAAACTTTCCTAGCACTTGGGGAAGCTGAAACAGGAAGATTACAAGTCTGAGCCCAGTCTGGGCAACGCAGAGATTGAGTGATACCATATCTCAAAGAAAAATAATAAAAAGTTCTGGGGATACAGCTCAGTATAAAAGAATTAAATTCAATTCCCAGTAAGACAGAAAGGAAACTTCTACTTGAAACAGAATATGTTTAACTTGCAACCAATTAGAGAACTGGCCAAAATAGAACTAAGAACATAGGAATAGTTGTTTCCCTTTTGTTTTTTAAGGTAATTATTTTTATTATTTAAGGTTTCAAACGTATATATGTATATACAGAGGTGTATATTAGAATATATAATATCCTAATGCACCAAAAGCCAATCTCAATTAATCATAAACATGTGGTTTCAAGATTATTTTGAAATAAATCTCAAAAACCATATCACTTTATTTTTAAATATTTTAGTACACACACTCTCTTAAAGAACTCTTAAAATATTCAAAAAAAACCCACTATCACAACTAAATATAGGTTTTCAGTGATACTAAACATTCAGTGTTTGACTGTCATTTTGAAAACGTAGTTTCCAGGCCTGCTCAGATCCTCACCGTTAGAATTAGGTTAGAGGAGGAGGATGTGTAAGTCTACAGCTTCAAGACACTGCTTTCAGCTTTCTGTGCTGAATTTCCTTTTTCCTTCTCTAAATGACACTTTGAACATATTGCACAGTCTCTTGGTCATTTTTCGTTCTCAATTACTCCATCGAAGTCCAAAATTTCAGTTTGCTATCCAGTTGAAGGCCTGCAAGTTCAGCTTACGGTCTTGGGGACATGAATGGGAGGTGATGTGATTTTGCTCTTTTTCAGTCTAACAGTTTGTAGTACAAAGGAGAGAGCAGCTCATCTATCTTTGCTCTTCTGAAGAAGCAGAAACAAGGGTGAAGAAATGATTTTCCTACAGAAATAGTGCTGGGCTGCTAGCTTCTACTTATGGGGTCCCCACAGACCGGGTGGCCTGTTTGATTGTCTTGGGTGGTCCATTTAGCTTGGTCCCTGTTCACTCTGTGGGACTCACTTTAATTTGAAAAGCAGTGTTTCCTCACGCTGCTGCAGGAAATCCATGCAGTTGAGCCTTCTCTCTCATGTCGTTCATTGCGTGATGTGGCCATCTTTCAGATGGTCCGACAATTCTGCCCCTGTTGTACCCTCTGTGCTTTAGAAAAAGCCATGAGGACCGTTGAGTGCATTTTGCATGCCATTTGAAAGCCATAGAGATTGGGAATGGGGTGGGTGTTATTTCAAAATACATCATCATTTTTCTTCATTCCAGGACAAAAAGAGTATTTACCATGTGATATCCTTGCACAAACATATATCAATACTATACCAAGATTTTGAGACATTATTATTATCACACAATTGACAAAACTACACTTCACAGCGGGGCCAGTGTATTTCATTGCATTTCAAGTAGATTAGTCAGTTTTATAGGTAATCAAGAGTAGGGTGTCCCCAAAAAAGGATCAAGTGCCTTGAGGGTCTGCCTTTAAAAAGATGTCTTAACTCCAAAGTATTTTCTACCCAAATGCCCTGATGACATTGATTTTATATATAAATTTGCTCTTTTTCATTTGCCACTGTTGCTCTGCCAACCCGACACTGACTTTTTCCTACAATTCTGCCAGCACATTCTCCTAAAGCACAATGTTCACTGTAGTCAGGCCTTGCTTCTGACACCACTCAATGGCCTTCATCATCTATTAGAATTTCCTGAAATGCTACGAATCAGCCGCTTACTGAGCCCCTGCCTGAGCAATCTACCCATTATTTATGAGCATCTTTCTGTTGGTCCTCGTCAGGTTAAGCCCCACCAAACTGTGACTATGGGTGGACATAATACATTGTCTAAGAACTAAGTCATGAGCAAGGGGCCTGGTTGTTGAGACTAATTTGATTTGCCCTTCCACATAGAACTTCCAAATTAGAAAGATAAATGATGGTGTCCAGAGACACAGATACAGATTGAGTGATGTAGTCTTTTGTGTGTTTATTTCTCTTTTCAGGGCCTTACTGTCACATATGCAATTTTACTTGAACTATTGTTTGATTTTTTTTTTTTTTTTTGAGAAGCTGTTGTCTTTCTATGTCATTTGGGTTGGCCTTGAATTCACAGCAAACTCCTATCTCACCCTCTTTGAGTGATGGGATTATAGGCATGCACCAACATGGTACAAGGTACATTTGAACAGTTTTTATATGCAGCAAGACACTGAGTTTTAGGAGGAGGTAGAAAATAAAGAGACCACAAAATTTGGGATACTTAAACTTTTTTTTCAGAGGTGGGTACCGGGGATTGAACTCACAACCTCACACCTACCAAGCTGGTGCTTCCACCACAGAGCTAAATCCTTGGCAAGGATACATGAATTATAGTGAGGCAAGTAATAAAAGATAAATCCAGGCTGGTAACAAAATCCAAGATTCTCTTTAACCTGCGTGGGATTTTAACTTTTGAAAAAATACCACAGTGTCTTTGTATAGGATGCATGCTAATTGCTTTTCTCCTGGGCTCAACACTTTTTTTCAAATGCCCACCTACTTCTTAATCTCTATCAGGTTTCTAAAGGCATTTAGAGTTGCAACTTGGGTATTACGCTGAACTTGAGATGAATCCTTCATAAATGTTGAACTGATTTGTCACCGGTTACTGAGAGTAGCAAGATAGCACCTCCATTCATGGTTCACGGTGTATTTTCTATTGTGGTGTCAGTGTTGTTCTTGTATACGTAATCATTGTACGTAACTCTGTAACCAAAAAGACAAAGAACAGATGTTTCATGCCTACCTCACAAGGACCTTATCTAATTCCTACCATCTGCTTGAGTGTATTCTTCACAAGTCTATCAGAATACATGTTGAAATGCCCAAGATACTGCGACACAGGTTTGAAAATAAATACAGGTAAGAAACTGCAAGCAGCACCTTGGAAGGGTCCTGAGTGGTTAGCCTTGCTCCTTTACTTGGCTAATTTAGCTAAGACAGCTCAAATAAGCCAGGTGAGCATTACCGTGCTTACTGTGTTTACCGTGTTCTGCATGATTTCAGGAACATGCGTCTTATAACTATGGGTCCCTGGGCAGCGCGTTCTTCTGGATACCACTGGCCGGCTGTTTCACTCCTTACATTGCCATGAGCAGCATTGACGATACTAAAGTAAGAAGAGTTAAGCAAGTTCTCAAAGATTTTGAGTGTCTAGAGATTTCTCTTTGGACCTTTGGGCTATAAATTAACATCCAGGTGTTTCACCTAATTTATGTGCTTACTACAATCGAGCATTTTGTTAAGAGTTTTTGAAAAGATGAAAAGTAAAACTAAAATTTTAAAACAAGCATGGGACCTCAGGAGGAGCCTCCTGGGAAATATCACTGACTAGCAGGGAATGCCAACTTTTAGCTGTGTCACTTAGGGTTAGTTACAGAGACTACTGACACCCACATGCCTGACAGACACAATACTGTTTCCTCTCTCTTAGTGGTATCTAACTTTGAATTGGTAAAGTTATTCAATTGAACAGGCCTGACCAACTCACTACAGCACTTTGACTTAGTGTTGGAAAACGTCGTTCCTTTGAAGCTTCATTTTTGTGATGTTTTCATTTAAAATTCAAAACGCCTATAAAAAAATCTTCCTGCTTCTCTATGATAGTTACGTCCCTCTGAAGGACCTTTGTCCTTTTTTCTGTGTCTTGACATCATCACCTCATGCTTGCTTTGTGATGTTGTAGTACCTTCTGAAAGTTTAGATAATGTCTCTGATGGGCTTGAATTAATTTTCATTTATTTTGTTTCTAAAGACATCCTTATCTTTAGGAACTTTGTCCATTGCAAACAAAATACTATTTTTTGTCATTTTATTCACTGTTTTCACTGTTCTTGTCAATCTTTATCTTTTCTTCTCTACCTTATCCCTCTTTTTCCTCCTCCTTTTATCTTCCATCTCTTCCTCCTTCTTCTGGGTTAAACCTCCCTGAGTTCAAATCCTGATTCTTGTTGTCAAGCTATATGAAATTTTGAAAGCCATTCAATAATTCTCCACTTCACTTTGTCATTTATAAAATGTGATGTACTTATATCTACCACATATGATGATACTGTGAAATAATACCTAAGTATCACTAAGAACACGTTACAGCTTGATGGCTAAATATCTAGGATTTCATCCTGGGCCTCTAACTATCTCCAGAGTGCTCATCTTCCATTTATACAACAGCCTACTTGGCATCTCCAGAAATAGGCGTTTCAAGCTTGAGAAAAAGTATACCTTTCATTTTCTTTGCCAGATCGGCTTTTCTCCCAATGTTCCCATGTCAATAATGGTAGTATCCTCTATAGTATCTCTTTCCTGAAAGTTTGGAGTTAACCTTAGTTTCTCTCTTTTATCTTATTTATCCAGTTAATCAGCAGTTCCTTTAGCTACCACTGCAAATGTTAATTCATCCACTTGTTTCCATCTGTACTATTTTCATCCTACTCTAAGTCATCAACTTTTCTTGTCTGGGCCACTTTAATATCATCCATTGGTCTCCTTGTTTGTAATTAATTCCTTTCACCCAACCAGAATGCAGTTTCAGAAGTTTAAATAAGATCGTCTGATTACCTTGCTTAATGACCTCCAATGGCTTCCCTTGAATTAATCATAATGCTTTGCGCTGTCTGCATCACCCATCTCTTGTATGTTTTTCTACCTCTCATCATTGTCTCCTGTTGTGTCTACCCCACTCTTCTCTTGTTCTTTCATGTACCATTGTCCCTGGGCTGTTCTTCGTCAATACAGTGTTCTTCCCCCTATTCTTAGTACAGTTGACTTCTTGTCACTGAGATCTCAGCACAGAAATAATTTCAGCCAAGTTTTCTTACTTTCTTACCGAGTTTAAAATAGTTTAAAATGGATAGTGTATCTGAGCTCACTTTAAAAATCTATGCATAGCACTGCTACCTAAGTTGTTTTTTAAAAATTCATTGTGTCCTCAATTCTACCTACTCCATTTTTGTTCATCTCCATAAATAATGGAGCTACTTTTTCTTACTCTTGACTGAAACCTAGGAACCACTCTTGCTAAGGTTGCCAGGTTAAACAAATAAACTACAGACACCCAGTTAAACTTCAATATCAGATAAATAATGAATTTTTTGGTATAAGTACATTACAAATATTTCCTGAATTACACTTATAATCACAGTATCTTTATGTAAAGTTCAAATTTAAGTGACATATATTTCTTTATTTCTCCCTCTATGTCCTCTCCCGCTCTCCATAGACAGTGAATTGAGAGTCATGGAATTTACTTCTGCAATATACATAGTATCTGTGTCTTTCTCCATCTTTCTTACAACACTCTAGTGAAAATCACTACTGTTTCTTTTTTGTGTGAGCACTGTTACTTCTCAGTCTCTGCTGTGGGCACAAATTAGTCTTCTCCTTTTCCATTTTGCACAGGGCATGGCAGTATAACACTGTTGAAACACAAAGCTCATCATGTTAGTTTCCTGTCTAAATCCCTGTAGTGGTTTCTCATTGTGCTGAGGAACAACAGTGAAATACCATATCTTGGACTGCCCTGGAACCAGTTGTATCTTTTGCTCTCTGTCCTATGTCACTATCGCCTTGAGTACAGTGTTCCAGCCATATTAACTTCCTTCCAGTTTCCCTAAAGTATCAACATTTTCCTATTGCAGAGTCATCTCTCCTGCTATTCTCTCTTCTCCAAATGATTTCAACCTGTCACCTAAATAGCTCCCATTTATTGCCTAGGCCCTAACTCAAGTGTTAGATCCCAAAGTTGCTCCCTTCAGACTTTACTCCAGAATTTTTAATACAATCATAATTTTATAATGTAGCTATAGCTATACTTTATATGCACTGCCTTTATCCCCTGCTTCCCCTGCAGCTTAAATTTCATGAGAGTACCATAGCCAACGTAAAGCCATTCACTTGGTAATACTCTGCAAATATATTTTAGGAAAACTAACAAACAAGAAACATCAAGTTCTCTAATATGTGCTCAATGTTATTCTCTTTCCAATTCTTTTTCAGACACATTTTCCTTCTTAGAATAGCATTTATTGTGGCTGGGGATTTAGCTTAGCGGCATAAGCACCTGCCTTGCAAGCAGGCAGTCGTGAGTTTGATTCCTGGTACCGATAAAAAAGAAAAAGACAAAAAAAAAAAAAAAAGAATAGCATTTATTTCCACTCAACATTTTTTCTAATAAATACCGTTATACAGGCTTAATTTAACTTAAAAATATTAATTGCTTATATGCTTTATTGTTTAAACAGTCCATGATAAAGTTATAAGACTTTGTGCTATGACACTCATTGTAACAATGTGCTTTCAATGGGTGATACCAAAATCTACTCTCTAGTATTCAAAATGTAATAATAAAAAATTGCCTTCACAGTAAGATAGTAAGAAAGTTACAATATTTTATAGGTGTCTTGCTCATGTTGACCCCTAAAAAGTTTTTAAATTAAATTGATTAAACAGACAACCAGTGCTTCTACCCTAAATAAAATGCCAATTGTTCATATTCACAGTAAATTTCAAGAGTCTTAGAAGCAGCTATAAACCTCATATTTTTTTCCTTTGTGCAATTTCCAAGTGTGCTTGTCAAAGGAGAAAGTATTCTTGGAAAGAAAAGAACAGAAATGCACACTTTCTGTTGGAAGATGAGACCATTATCTTAGTACAGTGTCCTTTTAGACAATGAAGCCATGAATGTAGTTTGCAGTATTTTTAATGTCTCTGAGGTAGGCCTGTGGCAAGTAGTATTTAACATTTTGCTACACCAGAATAATAAATATTAAGGGAATATTGCAAATATCAGTGCTCTTGCATTTATGTATTTAAAATTTCCCAAACCTCAAGTTTTCTGGGTTTTTTAATGATTTTTCTCTTTCTTCATCAGAAAAAAGTTCATTCCCAGCTATGGATTTCAGGCCTCTATCCTTCAGCTTACTGGTTTGGACAGGCACTGGTGGATATTCCTCTCTACTTCTTGATTCTCCTTCTTATACAAATAATGGATTATGTCTTTAGTCCAGAAGAGATTATATTCATAATTCAAAATCTTTTAATTCAGGTAAGTGGAAAAGATGAAGGAATGGTTTCATTAGACCAGTTTTTCATCAATGCAGTAGTATCATTCATCTTAAACTACAGAACATAAAGTTATCTGTCCTATAGTTCTGCAAAGTTGAGAGAAGAATATGGATACTTTCCCAATTAGTGTTTAATTTATTCTTCTTTTCAGATCCTGTGTAGTATTGGCTATGTCTCATCTCTTGTTTTCTTGACGTATGTGATTTCATTCATTTTTCGCAATGGCAGGAAAAATAGTGGCATTTGGTCATTTTTCTTCTTAACTGTAAGTCTGTATATAGATCTCATTGTTTTATTTTTAAACTCTTCTTGAATACATGTAAGAATGTGTAAGAGTGGCAAATTAAAATTTCTGCTTACTCTAAGATAACTATAGACACATCTAAAATGTATTGTGTGTGTGCAGCAGTATACCAGTTACAAACAGTGATTTCCACGTATCTCTAGAGATGGACTTCTACCCTTCATAGTTCACTTAAACATCCCTTGAATATTTCAAAAGGATTTCAGTGACACCATATCTGAAATATATCTCTCTACTCAACTCTACGCTTCCTCGTCTCTCAGCAGGTTACATTACTTCTACAGAATTCACAAATTAGTTGCTCATACCTAAAATCTTGCTTCCCTCTCTTTTTCTCTGCTCATATTCAATCCATGTGCATGTCCTTCAGACTCAGAGTCATCCTCACTTGCTTGGTGTTCCTTCCACCACCACTGCTGCATCTATCTTATGAACATCTGTACTCTATGTCTCACCTGAAGTCTTGCAACAGATCTATAACTGTCTCTCTGTTTCTACTTTTGTATCCCACAAATTCTTCTCTACAAAGATTCATTTTAATTGAAAAGCATAATTTACATTCAGAAAGTACAGTATTTTAAGCACAATAAAAAGTTAATATAAGCACTTCCACCACACATCAAGAAGTATTATTACTAAGGGGCTAGCTCTTCCCTCATTCAAATGTTACTCCCTCCTTATAGAAAATCATTATCTTTAGTTATAATAATATAAATTAACCAGTTATGAAATTAACAAAATAGAATCACCCAGAATGCATTGCTCATTGTGTACACTTAATTGACAATATATTTGAGAGTCGAATGCTATTGTGTCTGATAGTTACCGAAATTGTTCACTTCTTTCTATTGCTGCAGGATTCTATTAGATACATTATTATTTATCTATCTACTGATGAACATTCAAGTTATTTGTGTTAGATTGTTAGGAAAAACTCTGTTGTGAGCTTTTTTGTATTTCTTCTGGCTCGTGTGTATAAGTAATTTGAGATATAAACATAATAGTGGAATTATCAGTTCAATAAGTTGTACCAACTAGCTTTCCAAATTGTCTATACTGCCAGAAAGGGAAAGAAAATCTAGGGGATGATGAGAAGAATGTCCCATATTTGCCTTTTGGAAGAAAATAAAAATAAAATGCATGAGGATACACAAATTATTTTTAAAAAGTAAAGAAAACAGTTTTCTAGATTGTGGAAGGAAAGGAAGTTCATCTCCATATGAATGTAAATTGTGCTTTTCAATTAAATTCAATTACTAGGAGATCATTTTGATTACTTTATAGAGACTTTATAAAATAACCTCCTTTTATAACATATGGTTATAAAATGAGAAAATACCCTCTAAACTAAGAAAGAATTACTATGAAATGATCAAAACTCTTTAGTGTATGAATCCTCAAAGAAAAAGCACCCAAGAAGTATATAGAAATCAACTATACAAAAGCAAAATTCAAGCTACCTCCAAATTTATTTCCCATAAATCTTTTTTCAGTTTTCATACTTTTGATGAAACGTAAATGAAATTTATTTTCCCCCAAATTTTATATACCCAACTCATAACTCTAGGAAAGATTTGACCTACTCAATGTGATCTCAAAGAATGAACTATTAAATGTGCTTTTTGAAATAAAATCCTTAGGCCACACAAAAACCTGCACAACATACGCGGATGTTTATACCACTGTTATTTCAACCAGTATTCCAGAATGGTGGATGGATAAACTGTGTTACATACACACAGTAGGATACCACTTAGTGCCAAAAAAGAAATGTGCTAACAAGCCATGAAAAGACGCAGAAGAAAATTGAATGCATATCACTAGATATGGATTTGAAAATAGTAGATACTATGTAATTCCATTCACATTACACTTTGGAAATGACAAAACTGTGGAGCTAGGAAATCAGAGATTGCTGAGAGTTAAGGGGAAGTATGAACAGGTAGCAAGTGTATTTTCATTTAGTCAAATTACCACTCTTTATGACAGTATAACATCATATCTGATACTGTATGCATACCATTGCAAATTTGTCCAAATCCACAGAATATATAAAACTAAGAGCAAAATTTAGTGTAAAATGTGAGCTCTGAATTATGCTGATGTGACAGTACAGATTCATGAAGTGTAACCACTGTACCATTGTAATGGGAGATGTTGATCATAAGAGAGACACACACATGGGGTTACAGTTTAAATGAGAAATCTCTACTACACCTTCTCAATTGTATGCTGTAGCCAAAATTGCTCTAGAAATAGTCTACTAAAGGAAAGAAAAGCAAAGTTATTCAGGAACAAATCATACCCATATCAAATATATATAATTTCAGGTTAAAATTATCTCAATTAAAAAATAAAACATGAATTCAGGAAAAGAAAAATTGCTATAAAAGTACCATCAGTGGCCACTAAATTAGTTAAATATTTATGTTTAAATAATTATGGGAAGCATACTTGGAACATATTTGAATAAAAAGCATCCACAAAGTTGAATATTTTCTTTTATAAAACACGGATAATTTTATCAGCAACACCCAAGAAAGAGGAACATTGATAAGTTTGCTTAGAACAATTAAGAACAACTCTAATTTAAAAAATAGCAAAACAAACTTAGAAGTTAACAGGATAGTAATAAAGACAGTGTAGTCTGACTGAGTTCAGGTTACAATTATTCAGTATTAGTAGTTATATTCAAGGAAAACCAGGAGTTGAAGAAACATCATACAATTTCTTAAAAAGTGCCCAACAAAAAGAAAACATAAACACAAGGACAGACTACCAAAAACCAATGACAAATATCATATTACATAGTAGTTAGAAATTATTCACATCATGTCAGCAATAGGAAAAGAATAACTACAATAATAAGATTCTGTCTTTTTAGTGATGTATAGTCTAATTCAGGGCTTTCAGAGATACAGACTGTCACCATCCTTTTGAAAAGTGTTAGTGACCATTGAATTGTAAATTTTCATAAATCTTAACCTGCAATTATACTTTTTAAGAATTCTTCCTACAAAACTACAAGTATCAATATAGAAGGATTAATGTAGACTATCCTTAATAGGCCAGAGAATTTGTAAGTAACACATTTTCTGAAGATAAAATTGTCAATTCTTGGATATCCATTCAGGGAAATATGCACTTATGGAAAGGAATAGCTGATGTGTTTCACCTAAAAGGATATCTATGATACATTTTCCTGTGAAAAATGCAGGAATAGTATATTAACTCTTTCATCAAAATCTGAATTTTAAGAAGAACTTCAGCTGATTTGTATATGCATAGAGTTTGAAAGTAGTGTTATTTCTATCAAAAATTAATACCCATTCTAATAGAAGAGTAACCTGTGTCTGTGTCACAAAAAAGTAATTGAAAATGGTAATTATTATGGTAATTGAAAATAAGAACATTAGTGGGGTGAATTATTATCCTCTTTGAAAATAGCCTACAATTCAGATTGGTTTTTTAATTAACTATTTCTATTAGTACATATTTATCATTCATAATGATCATGGGGAATTTGTACTTATACATAATGCATCTGAATTCTTTTATCCCATTCTCCTTCCCTCCCTTCAGCCCTTACACTCTTTCCTATTTACAAAATCTTAGTTTCCATTTTGCCCCTCACAAGAGAAATAATCTGATAATTAGCTTTTTTATCTGACTCATTTTACTTAAGTTTATGGTCTTGTTAAACTTCGATGACACTGTCATGTGCTTTTGTTTTAGGTCACTATCTTCACAATAGTGGCTGCTGATGTAAGCGAATACACATTTCTGGGGATACTATTCTGCACCATATTAGTACCACCCTTCACACTGATTGGCTCTCTATCCATTTTTTCTGAGGTAAGTAAATCCAGTCCTAGCCTTACATCATAAAATGTATTACCAGAAGAGAAAGCCTTAGATATTGCAAAAATATGAGCAGAGTCCTTAGCCATACAAAGTCTGAAGTGTTTGTTTTCAGAAAGTCAATTGTCTTACCATACACAAGGGACATGCTCTTGGTCAGTAGGAAACTGGGCTTTGTTTCATGAAGGTCAAAGGCAATACTAGGCATGGGATATTTTATAGATATGATAACTCTCACTCTGGGAACCCTAGTGTCTTAGTTACTTTTTACTCGTCGCTGAGATTTACTCGTCGCTGAGACAAAACACCTGATGCCCAAATTTCGACCGGAAAGGTTTATTTCTTACAGCTTTTGGAGGTTTCAGTCCATACTAGTTGGCTCCAAGGCAGAGTAGCATGATGGGGCTGCATTTCATGGGTAGCATGATGGGGCTGCAGCAAGGCAGAAACTGGCAAGAGAGAGAGAGAATGACACACCTTCTTCCTGCCATTATATCACATCTTGGCTCCACCCCTAGATGTGTGTAGAACCGACACCATCAATCCAAGCACTAGACAATGAACCAATTACAAATGCACAATGCAAATGCATGAGGCTTGAGGGCCACCAACATAAACCAGGACACTTAGTGAGAGGTGCTTTTCTGCTAAGATTTGGGTATGTTAGTTTTATCGTTCCTCACAGACACTCGAAGGAAAACGTCAAGGAGACAGTCAGATATACAGTGAAGTGCACACAAGTAAAGGATTGCTCCACTAAAAACCAGAAATGCTCCATCTATTTAACAAGGTCATTGTCAGAGTATATAATACAGAGATAAGTTGCTTAGTGGCTTTGCTGGTGGAAAGATGAGCTAGATATGCCTTTATTAGGTAAATAGTCATCATACAAGAGTAAGGTAGTCAAAAAGAATTTGTGAGTTTGACCATAAAAGAAAGGACATGAAAAAATATTTAAGGGTTCAAAGTCAGTAGGATTGATCTACTAAAAGACAGTCTACTCTTCAAGAAAGGTCAGCCAAATGCTGAGTTTATCTTATACTTGTAAGACAGTTTATGGCAAGTACAGAGTTTGGTTCAATCAGGGATGAAAAGTTGCCAGGTGAGTCTGACAAAGAAAAGGATAGAAGGTATAGTTCTACACAAGGAGGACTTGAACAACTCTGAACCAGGAAATATATAAGTTAAGGGGTGATGGACAGTGGCAAAAGTTTTGTGGAGTGGAGGTTCACCAATTTCAAATTTTGGAGTAAAGATTCTAGAATCTCAAAAAGCTGGAAAAATAAAATTTGATGGTGGATAGGGCAGAAATCAGGAAGCACTAAACTCATTTTAGAATGGGATAGCTTTACAGAGAGTGGTCATCTGTGCAAGACAAAAAGATCAATTGAAATGATATTACAGTCACAACCAATGTGAAAAAATCTGTTGTAGATGATGCATGACTGTAATGCTTAGAAATTTATTGCAAGAGATCTACATTTTTCTCAGAAAAAAGTCTTGGTGAATACAGATCAATAAATACAGTTGACTCCTTTACCTTTTACTCATAATGAAATAAAATATCCTTTCATGGAGAGTGTTAAAAAGATACATTTATACACGTCTTTGAAATTGTTGGTGATGGATTTGGTTCAAAGGATTGTTCTGATTGTTCTAAAAAGCAGATGTAGGAGAACAATAAAAAATATGATTACAGGGTTTTTTATGGAAGAATATAGAAGAGCACAAACAGGAGGAAAAAGACAGAAATTGAAGGAGAGGGTTTGTTTTAAGACAGCGTTGCCCATGGCTTCAGTGGGTCTTGGCAACATTCCCCAGAATCCTGCCAGTTTATGGTATTACATGTAACAGCACCTCTAGTGTGTTGACAAGATGACAGAGATGCCTTGAAAGAAAAGAAGACACATTGCACAGCCAGAAATTGACTTTACCTGATAAATGTTAAAATGGTGGCAGGGCCGTTTAAAGGGAAGGTCTATATAAAAAGCTTTCTTCTGTTTTACAGATTTCTTATGACTCCGTGGATTACTTAGGAGCTTCTGAATCTCAAATTGTATTTCTGGCATTGCTAATAGTAAGAAGATATTTTCTTTTCAATGTTATGCATGAGGGGACACAGCCTTTGTATGGTTTCCGTTCTCTGAATTGTGTCAAATTAAAAATGACATTTCTAGCATACAAAGTAAAACACATCCATGAAATGACTTTTTAAAAATTTAATTAAATTTATTGATACAATGTAGAGATATACAATGATCACATTCATCATAGGGAATTTGTATCTGTATGTAATATACCTTCCTTCCCTCCCTTGAACCCCTCTTCTCCTTATTTACAAAGCTTTGTTTCAGTTTTATCATTCTTGTCTCATTTTTTCTATTCCCTTCTTTCTTTTCCTCCTCTTTCCTCCTTAGTTCCCCTTTTCTTCAGTTCCTTCCCATTTTACTGTAACTCTTGTACAGTTTAGTTCTTATTTACACTTTGTTTCTTGTACCAGTAAGACAATGCAATTATTTATACATGTGTGTCCAATTTACTTCACTTATGGGTATGATCTCAAGGTCCTTCTATTTAGCAGTAGGGTAGCACTCCATTATACATTTAAAAAACACACCTTTTTAATCCATTCATTGGCCTCGCTAAATAGCAGAGAGAATAACTTTGAGAGTTTCATACAATATTAAGTAGATTGCTTTGTGCTGTGGGAGATGTTATGAAGTGTAGTTTTGCAATGGCAAGCAGAAACATTGAAGTAATACCCAGGATTTGGAGGCAGATTTATTTTACATCAGCGGGCACTGATCAGGATCATTCCCAAAGTATCAGCCCCTAAAAGCTCAGGGAGGGAAGTTTTTATAGGGTCTGCCAGAGGAAGTACAAAGGCACCTGGTTGTCCTTGATTGGTTTTTACAATGGGTATCCTAGGGACTAAGTATTTCTAAGGTACACAAGCAACTGCAACTGCAAAAGGACCTATTATCTGAGCAATTAAGAAACTGAGGTATACTGGCTCGGGTGGGGTGGGGGGCATTTTCTGTTACAATTTTATGTATGGTTACAGTTGTAACAAATCATCCAGCTCCTGTAACAGTTCCAGTATTGAAATAGTTGTTTTTGTGATGTTGTTAATTTTGATTGACATTCTTTTCCTTTAGCCTTACCTCCAGTTTTTCATTTTCCTTTTTGTTCTGCGATGTCTGGAAGGACACTTTAGGAAGAAATTGTTGCGAAAGGACCCTGTATTCAGGTTGATAAAAATCAATGTTTTATTTTAATATTCACTCTTTAAAGAATTTAAACATCTCTACATTAATTTTAATTTTTTTAAACCATCACCTGTTCAAGATTATTTTAAGAGAATTTGTAAACTCAGTAAATGCAACATGAATTATAATGATTGTATATATAAAAATCTAGTGAGAGATCATATTAGCACAGATAACAGACTGAAAAATCAAAGCAAACTGTGATTTTATGGTGAGAAGAGTCATGTGTAAAGGGTAGAATCTTTAAAATAATGAGCAAGTTCAGACAAGCAATGATACAAGTGTAACCAATCCAGAATAAAAGCACAGTGTGAACAGTTAAGACAAAGGTTGTGATATAAACCTTCTTCCTGTCAGTGAGAGGAGGCCGCTGAAATGAACTTGAAGGTGTACGTTGTAGGATAATAAAGTGAATCACAAGCTAGATATCAGAGTATTGGAACAGGAAAGAGTAACAAGGTTTTAACAAGTCACACAATACAAAATCAAACCATGTATGCCTTGGACACTTAGCCCACCACCCAAAATGAATATCGGGCTCAAATCTAATGTTGATGGTAAACTAAAACATGAAGCCATGTTTTAAAAAACCAAATGATTACATTTATTTGTGGTGGCTCAATGGAGAGATGTAGGCACTAGCAGGACTCAATGGTGGGGTAGGGGAGGATGACTAAAAATTAGAATTAGTGAGAGAAGTGTGATTCTGACACAAATTCCCAAGAAATGATCCTGTTCATATCTGAGCAAACATTGAAATGATAATTAGATGTCCTAAGGTTTCCGGGGCCATCCCTGACTCCAAGTGTTTTGACCCACCATTCTCATGAAACCTTATCTCAAAATTATTTTGTAGGAGAGGGTGTGCTAATTCATTATGTGGGGGAAAAAAGTAGTCATAACCATCAAGGACAATGAAACATAGGTAAAAATCCAAGATGATATGCGCAACACCACTTGATTCTTTGATAGTAATTAGGCTATTTTTAAGGCAAAGAACAGAGAGCTTAAGAATGAAAATTCTGTTGTGCTCCTTGTTAATCTAGCCAAATGATTGATTGTAGTACACAGAGAATTCATTACTTTTGCAAAGCTTTTCAACTGGAAACCTGTCACTCTTATGCCATTTGGATTTTAGAATTTCTCCAAGAAGCAGTGATGTTTTCCCAAACCCAGAAGAACCTGAAGGAGAAGATGAAGATGTTCGAATGGAAAGAATAAGAACAACAAATGCTGTGACGTCCCTGGATGAAGAAGAGGTAAAAGCTACAAAAAGATTCTTCATCAAACCATTTTACCTGTTGGATAAAGTGAGCGACTTTACAATTGTAATTTTTGAAAAGCACTTGAGGTTCTTTTACCCTTTAAAGCTCATTGGACTTCAGAAGGTATTCAGGGCCCACAGAGCTAAGAGAGTAGGGGAAACATAAACACACACTGAGATTAATTTGTTAATTTATTTTTCAAATTCATAATGTTGAGAAATACAGCTAAATGTTATCAAACTTAAGTAAGATTTTGTGAGTTTTACAACTCTATAAAGCTTACTACAAGAAATTACGAAGAGACAGCTTATCTGAGCTGTACATGTGCTTATACGCATATGTATGTATGAGAGTAAATTTTTTTTTTTAAATTGACACCAGGGATGGAACTCACTACCACACACTTGCAAGGCAGGCGCTAATGCCGGCTGAACTAAATCCCCAGCCCCAAGAGTAAGTACCTTAAATCTATTGATTTAGTGAATGCTCTTATTCCTTCTCTCTGAAGAAGAAGCAAAAATCACATAAATATGGTGCAAATACCCTTTTCCTACAGGAATATAAACTTGAGAGAATTCACTTGACAACAGCAATTTCTAGGGGAAGGATCGGTTTGCTTCCTGATCTTGTATAAGGACACATTTTCTGGAAAGGAGCATGGAATAGTCTTAATGTACAGAGAAAATAATGCCCCACTGCTATTGGCTTGACTTTACAGAAACCAGTTATCACTGCCAGCTGTCTCCGGAAGGAATATGCAGGCAAAAAGAAAAATTGCTTTTCCAGAAGGAAGAAAAAAATTGCCACAAGAAACGTCTCTTTCTGTGTTAAAAAAGGTTGGCAACAACAATCCTGCTATTAAACCAATCTGGATCTCTAAAGATTCGTTCTTTCTAAGGCAAGAACAGTATCCAAATCTGGAGGTAGCTAATGATGACAGGAAAGGAAGCCAGCTCTTCACTGTACATGGTTGCTCCGTCCTGCTGACAAACTACAGTTACACTTACAGGTTTTCTTTGCTCAGGAAGATACTGTGTCTGTTCTGTTAAAACAAACAAGCAGAACAATAACAACAAACAGACAGCTTTTCTGTTAAAAACAATAACATAGGTTTTATATATATTTTAAAAATCTACATTAATCTTGACATTTTTATGGTGCTGGGGATTGAACTCAGAACCTCACATGTTAGGGAAGTACTCTACCACTGAATTACACTGTAAAGACTTTAAAGTGATGTAATTTCATGACCTAAGGGAACTGACTAGGCAAAGTAACACATTTTTCATTTCTAAAAATATCATGTTAATGTTATGGTTAAGTACAAGCTTCGGAATCAAATTTTGTTTTGAATTTTAGCTTAGTCTCTTAAATACTGTATGAACTTACGCAAGTTATTCATGCTGTTTAAGTCTCAGTTTCCTCATCTGAGAAAGAAAATATGAACTACGTAAAAAACAGTAGTTGTGTGTGTGTGGAGGGGAGAATAAGTGAAATGATACATATAACACATTTCACATAGTGCTCAACAGTTAGAGTCCACAAATGATATTTGCTGTTGATTGACTCATAGATTATGTTATTAGAGATTGAACTCAGGACCTTCAAAATAAGCTACATTCCCAGCCATTTTTAAATGTGGCATTATGCTCGGCTTGTTTATATTTTTGATATAATTATCTGTGTATTTCTGAGCATTTGTATTTCTTTCAGGTGAAGTTGTAGGGTTGTTGGGACACAATGGAGCTGGCAAAAGTACAGTGATTAAAATGATAACTGGAGACATAAGACCAAATGCAGGACAGGTCAGTAAAACACCCATGAATATGGTCATTGATGCTTCCTTGAATGACCAATAAATACTGACGGCAATTATAAACCAATCGGATAGTCTGTGAGTGATTTGTGTGACTTATGCATTGAAGGAAAAGAATTGATAAAAAAAATTTTCCCCTTAATTTTCCAAAAATACTTGACTGATGAGAAAGACTATTGTTTTTTATACTGAGTGAAAAAAGACAGAGCTATTAAAGGGAAATACAGACCACTGAGATCAGACATCTTTGCTTTGCTGAATTATCTATTCCAAGAACTTGTTAAATTTAATTATCTACTGCAGCATCATACCAGAAACTACTGTAAGAATAAGGCCTGGCCATGTGGTTATAGTAATGAATCTTCATATTTAATAATCTTTCTGTTTATATGCTATAATTAAAGATTCTGTGAGACGTTTTGTAACAATGAGTTCATTAGCAAGAAGAACTGCGTAAGTCTTTAAAAGTGCATATGAAGCAGACTTTCTGGTAGCTGTTGGGGCACATCCTGGCCCAGCAGATGTAAGGATGTGACCAGAAAGAGGAGAGAAGGTTCTAACAGAAGATATTACTGTGAGTCTGCTGAAGTTTCTTGAAGCACAATGATTATGTTGGTCTGGGGTTAAAAGGCCCAGTATCTATTAAGAACATAGACAAAAGTAAGAAAAACTTTAATAATTATCAAAATTCCAAAACAAACACAGAATAATATATGGATTTTACTTGTCTAAACCAATTTGGGTAAAACGAGGGTGGGAGGCCAAAGAAGTACAGCTTCACAGGGAAAATGGCTTCTGACACTTGACACGAGGTCCAAGCCACAGGCGACGTTTGGAAGGGAAGTTGCAATATGGTGCTGATTGTTACAAGCATTCTCTAAATTGCCTTTCCCTTTCCATTTTTGCCTCACACGGCAGTTTGAGCAGTCCTTAAACAATGATGACCTTCCAGAGATCCAGATTGCTCCAGATTATAATCTCTGACCTAAAATTGATCCAAAATTTTGACCATGGCTTGGCATGACACGGGCTCTGCTGACAGCCTTTCACATCCTCTGCGTCTTGCCAGACTGACCTTCAGTCACCTTCTGACTGGGGTATCCTTGGGTTTGATCTACTCCTGTGCCCTGTGCTCAGCTCTTGACACGCTTATTTATCTCTTGAACATCTACCTCCCCAAAAGACCTCTTCCTGCCTGCACTATTTACTACATTAAACCCTCCATATTATTATTAGGCATATTTCCTTCCTTGAAAGGATTAAGAAGAGGCCCTAATTAGTCCACTTATGTATTTACTTGTTAATTCTCTGGGTCTCTCTCTAGAATGAAAGTTCTATGAGGCAAACAACTTTTTTTTCTGCCTCATACTAGGAAGGGACAATATAGCATGGAGGTTAAGGGCATGAGTCCTGGAGGTTGATAACAATTTCAGTTACCATATTATCTGAAAATTTCTTAATCCATGTGTGGGTGAGTTATCTCATCTGTTAAACAGGAATGATAAAGTTAACACAGGACACATATAGGGTTTCTGTAAAGACAATATAGTTCAAAATATATAAAACGCTCAGATTCTGGCATATGGCAAGCACTGAGGACACATTAGCTATTCAAGTTATTGGATAGCACAGAGCCTGGCTCATAAAAAATGAAAATGCTGGCATAAATCAACTGAGTTCCTTTTTAACACAGCACTAAAGATTTTTCATATATCATTTTAGCTCAGAATTTTTCAACCTTGAAATTAATGACCTTTGGGCTGGATAATTTTCACTTGTAATAGGATACTTAGCAGTGTTCCTGGCCTCAACCCACTAGATGCCCATGGTACCCATCCCACCACAGTTATACATACAAATTGTGACAGTGAAACACAGATACAGACATTGATAAACGTACTCTGGGAAGAGGACTGTCCCTGACTAAGAATCACTGCCTCATTGTGAATCAGATCCTATAATTATAACTATTTATGATTGGAGAATCAGAATTCATCTTCTATTCTTTTGAATTTTGGGATCAGTAAATAAATTCAGGTGATGAACAACCAAATAAGCCACCCTGAATTCAACCTTAGTAATGGAATTGGTAATTAAATCTAAACTATAATGGAAGAATATAAGAATATGGAATACTGGCTTTTAAATTGCTGAGTGTTTTTCCATTTTTCAAGAACTATATTCGGTAGCTTTTTAACTTTTGTACTTATGTACTTATATATCCTTAGCATTCATGTAAGTACCTAAAGAGAACTCTCTGATGTATACACTCACATGTGCATACATGCACAACTCTGAACAGAACTGGAGAATGAACTTATTTTGTCTAGGTGATTTTGAAAAGGAACAGCGAAGGGGACGATCTGGGGTTCCTGGGGTACTGTCCTCAGGAGGATGTGCTGTGGCCCAACCTGACTGTGAAGCAACACCTGGAGGTATACATGTCTGTGAAGGGGCTGAAGAAAAGGGACGCCATGGTCACCACTGCCCAGTACGTGAGTGACCCACATGCAATCTGTCTTGGGAGATATGATGTTAATGGAATTTCAAACAAAATTTAAGAACACAAAGTTCAAGAAAAGGCTTTCTAATAAAGGATACCTTGCTTGTAAGAAAAGTACTGTGGCCATCTAGTACCCAGTTCAATATTATTTTCTGTAGCTCCAAGCTTGCAGGAAAAAAAAGTTTGTAGATTATTCTCAATGTAGGGAGAAGCTATTGAAAATACGAGAGTGATATCCAAGACAGATTCATAAAGTGTCTATATTAGTCCATGCTGTGTTACCATAATGAAATTTTTAAGGCTAATTATTCATGAAGAAGAGAAGTTTGCCTCATGGTCTGAAAGGTGATATTACAAGATTGGGTGGCCTCCTTGGTTCAGCCTCTGATGGGGACCCAGCCCTGACATCATCACAGAGGAAGTACGTGGGAGTAGGAATAAGACAGGAAACCAGAGACAGATGGGGATCCCACCATCCCTTCTTAAGGCACACCCAATGACGTAGACAACCTCAGGACCTCCCACTAGGCTTTAAAGGTTCATATCACCTCCTAAGGTCACCACATCACCAATGTCCCAATGCATGACCCTCTAGGAGGCAAACTACAATTAAACCACAGCACATTCTCAATGGCTTCACAGTTATGGCTCCCCTAGTAACTCTTATTTTCTCTACTGTACCATCTTGAGTTGCTTGTTCTTTTATAGCCAATGCCCGTTGTTCCTGAATAACTCACACCGCCTCCTTTAGGTTGGTGGAAGCCCTCAAGCTGCAGGACCATCTGAAGACCCCAGTGAAAACGCTGTCAGAAGGAATAAAGAGAAAGGTATGTGAAGGTTTGGTGTCGCTCTTGGTACCCACAGCCCCGGTGCTGACAGCCTGTCTCTTTCCTTCCAGCTGTGCTTTGCACTAAGCATCCTGGGGAGCCCGTCGGTGGTGCTCCTGGATGAGCCATCCACCGGGATGGACCCCGAGGGCCAGCAGCAGATTTGGTGAGGAGATACATGTGTAGTCCCGTGTGGACTAATGACCCCTGTAACAAATAAATGCCTTCAAAGTCACTGTTTACTGAAAAAGCATAAGCCCCTCATCCACTATAAGAAAAAGTAACTTTAAGGGGAAAATAACCCTACCACCAGTTTTTGTTAAGGAGAAAAAGGTGTACTCCTTCGATTAACTATCCATTCTAAGAATTTTATTTTCTTTGTTAAGTCTTCTGGGTGTGAATGGGGCATATTAAAATCAATCAATTGCTAAATGTTAGTTCTTTCTGCAACATTATCTAACATACATTTCTGTGGAGAATAAAAGAAACAGTCCAAATTCTCAATACATATTCATTAATTATTTTAGGAAATTTCTGCTATTTTTTACCTTCACAGTACAAGTTGTGATTATCCTACATTTTAGTAAGTTCTGCTTTCTGTGTTCTGTCCATCTACTGATAAACACTCTTGAAACTTGTACAATTGCTAAGTAACTTTTACTCAATTTGCTATATTATATGTTCAACCCAAACCTATGGTCAAATTATAAGCAGCAATTTGGTTATTTCCCTGCTTATTACCCCCGCCACATTCTGATTGGGGTCCAGTCCCAATTCACTAATTGTTCCATATTTGCGAGGAGGGAAATTTCTTTTTTTAAATTTCCACATTTCCTTGGACAGTACTTATGTTTATTTTCCTTCAACCTAATTCTAGGCAGGCAATCCGGGCCACCTTTAGGCACATGGACAGGGGTGCCCTCCTGACAACGCATTATATGGCAGAGGCTGAGGCTGTGTGTGACCGCCTAGCCATCATGGTCTCCGGAAGGCTGAGGTGAGTGCTCCTCAGTCCAGCCCTGGACCCACAGGTCACAGGGTATCTCCTCTGTGGAGAGGCTATTTCTGGCTTTGGGGGCTGCAGCCTTGACCTGGACAGCACTGGCCAAGGTATCCTCTCTTGCTTCACCGCCACTTCTGACTTCCAGGTGTATTGGTTCTATCCAACACCTAAAGAGCAAATTCGGCAAGGACTACCTGCTGGAGATGAAGGTGAGGAGCCTGGCGCAGGTGCAACCTCTCCACGCAGAGATCCTGAGGCTCTTCCCCCAGGCTGCTCGGCAGGAAAGGTAAATGCACCTGCTGCTTCTTCTTGGTCTTCGTTTGACTTTCGGTTTTAGTGATGAGGAATAAAAGCTTTTTCCTCCATTCCTTTTTCTGTTTGCTTTTTTTTTATTTTTGTGCTCGAATAACTAGAGAAAGGTTTCATTCCAGAGGCTATGATGGGAGAAGAATGAGATGGCAAAGTGCTGCCTCGGAGACTGAGCACTGTCTTACAAGGGAAGGAGCATTCGTGAGAACTCAGTGACGTGACGGGCCGGGGCCTAGTGTGTGTGTTGGCTTATGTCACCTCAGTGGCTTTCTAGATTGCAAAACAATCCCGTTAGTGGAGATTCCCTGTATAAAGCCTGTACCACAGAAACTGCATCAAAGTGCAGTGTGTTGTGTCTCTCAGAAACTGCATCTTCACCAGTAACAGCAGTTGAGGCTCAGGTAGGGCAGTAGGTTAAGTAATTTTTACCTATATGTTCTTTTCTTCACGTTAAAGTACTCATGGAAAAGTAATCTTCTTTCCTTCTGTTGTAGTCAGGAGTTGTGCGGAGAACGATTAGAATCAGGACATGGAGTTTATAATATTTTATAAACTCCGGAAGTTAACACAAGAAACTGCAGGAAATCTATCTACAGTGCCAAAGACATAGAACATTTAGTCAAAGGGCCTAAATCCCACAGCAATGTCCCACATGAGTCCAGGTGAAAACCCAGAGCTCATGACAATGCCTCCCACGAGTCCAACTGAAGGTCCAGAGCCCACAAGAAGGACTCATGCCAGTCTCTTATGGATCCATGCTGGCAAGGCCCAAAGATCAGTGGTGGAAGCCAGAAAGTCCATGCCAGTGGGGTGAAGGAACTGTGCTGTTGAGGGTTCTACGCTAGAGCTGAGAAGTCACACTCACAACAAAGACCAGGGCTGTCCTGAAAGGCACCACAGCCATCCTCAACGACACAGAAGGCCCAGAGCTCCTCCGACGACAAACACAGTCAGGTACCTGCCAGGAAGCCAGCGTGACGAGTTCATCCTGGAGACCAAGCAGCACATGTCTTCCCCTCCAGAGCCAGGAAGCAATGCTCGATGTGAGAACCAGAGCTTTTCCAGGAGAACCAATGGCTCAAACGGCAACATGTAGGAGAACCCACAATACCACAAAACAATAATGCATTAATACCATCAACGCCCTCCTTCTCCTTCTCCACCTATTTACACTGGTAACTTTCCTCAGGTGGAGCATCTACGCTCAGTGCCATGCTGATATAATCCAGCTGGCACTAAGTTGACCACCAGTTCTTAATCCATAACAGTTTCTTTCTTAAACCTTACTGCTGTTGATTTCTTTCCCTGTCTCCTAATCTTTAGTAGACTGACCTCTAGTTGATCAAAGTGTATTTATACCACTATGATTGTCTCCAAGGCCACACATATGTGTATATTTAAACAAATTATTGTCAAGCTACTGCAAGAGAAATAGGTAGAAATCTTAAAGACTTAAGTGTATGTAGGGGCTTCATGAACAAAACCCAGATCACCTGGAAAGATTCAACAGTGGGAGTCAACAATGGGATCTCATCTTGTTAAAAAGCTTTTGCACAATAAAATAAATCATCAATGGAGTGAAAAGACAACTCATAGAGTGGGAAAATGTTTTATCTAGTTGTTCCTCAGACAAAGGTCTTACATCTAGACCAAATAAAGAATTTAAAAACTATCAGATCCCCGAAATTCAAAGACTCAATTCAAAACTGGGCATCTGAGATGAATACACATTTTTGAGATGAAGAAATACAAACAGCAAATATATGAAAACATGTTCAGAATTATTGCAAGATGCAAATTAAGCAACATTAAGATTCCATCTCACTCCAGAAGGAATGGCTGTCATCAAGAAATCAACCAATAACAAATGCTGGAAGGGCTTTGGGGAAAGAGAAATGCTTTTCCATTGTTGGTATGAGTGTAGACTGGTACATTTACTGTGGAAATCAGTATGGCAATTCCTCGAAGAAGTGGATTAGAGGTTCCATTCAACCCAGCTATTCCTCTTCTGGGTATCTTCCCAGAAGAATTAAAAACATACAACAGTGAAATATGTGCACCCACGTTTATAGCTACACACCTTTAAAAGGTAAATCTTGGAAAAAACCCAAATGCCCATCAAGTGAAGAATGAATAAAAACAAAGATGTGGTCTTTTTCTACAACGGAGTACTACTCAGCCATAAAGAAGAATAAACTTGAGACTTTTATAGATAAACTGACCCAACTGTAGATCATGCTCATAACTGAAGTAAATCAGAGATCTGAATGTAAACATCATATTATCCCCCTGACATGGGAAACTGAAAGAGTAAATAAAGTCCAAAGCATACACTGGATACTGGGGAAAAAACTGTTCAAAAGGGAGGGTGGGGAAAGGAAGGAAGGGAAGGGACTAAAACCACAAGAAAGTTATTCTACTAGTTTCTTTTAGTTGATTGAAAAGGAATGTTTGTGCTAATACCATTTGCAGAATTTTTTATGCCCATATCTTGTACTCTTGAGTATCTACTTTGAAGAAAACAATATGTAACATACTAATGACTGTTATTTTTCTCTTTTGTCTTAAAATTTTGTTCTTTTTTCCATAAAAAAATTATTCTCCTTTTAAGACATTCAGCAGCAGAGCTGTGACCTCCAACCTGGACTTCAGCCTCCCTATTCCCTTTGCAGGTACTCCTCCCTGATGGTCTATAAGCTACCTATTGAAGATGTACAGCCTTTATCACAGACTTTCTCCAAGTTAGAGATTGGTAAGTGATTGTTTAGAGATCAGACTCTAAGAAATAGGAAAAAACCCAAACCAACATTAAAAAATTCATAAACATAGAATTGTGATTCTTTTTTCCACAAATAAGACTTTCAACATAGTGGTTCTCAAAAAAGGATGATTTGACAAATCATGGGAATAATCCATCCTCACCACTAAAGAATAGAGACAGAGCCCAGCAGGCATGAAATGGATAGGGACCAGAGATGATGTTAGACACCTACAATCCCCACAGGCAAGAATGACCTGAACCAATTGCCATGAGAGCTGAGGGTCAGAGACTTTGCCCTGGCTCAGCAAAGTTCTAGAGGAAAGAGACCTTTGACATTCAGAGCTGGAGAGTCCACAAATTTGTGCAAACAGAAAAGTATAAATTTGTTTTTGTTTCAAGGTATTCTTGGATAGCATCTTATACTGATGAGATGGCTCTTCTGTCTTGCAGTAAGTGAATCAGTGACTCTTTTTAGGCATTTGCATTTGATCTTCACTCACTGCACTGATCTCAGTGGGCTTGGTTTTTGACTGTCATGTCAGGTGCACAGGCCCTAATGAGTCACATTCTTCCCCCGCGGCTCTTCTTGAGCTATGCTTTCTGACTTCACATATGTTTGCAAAAGCATACAAACCGCAGGCTTCCGGGATCCTAAAGAGAGGCTTCTACCACAAGGCCATGTTTTCCATATTGATCATTTTCCCTTCATTGTCACCTTTGCGTCACTCCAGTGGGAAGGATTTCCACAGTGGTATCTCATGTAGTTTGTAATGAATTAGTATCAGGGAGATTGAGAAAGACCGCTCCCTAGAATACAATTGAAACTTTCTTCAAAAGCCTCCTTATATTTTTGCTTTCCAAAATATTCTCTCCTGTTCCAGATTGCTCATCTGCTTACTTTACTACAACTCAGGTTTTCATTTGAGGGGAAAAATTTTTAATGATAATTTCTCACTCTGTTATATGAATATGACACAACATAAAAAAATGCACAAACAGAAACATGAGCTACATTTTTTTCTCGAACTGTTACTAGGCATCATTATATACATTGCAATGTGTACATTCATAGTATGAACTAAGCCCAATGCCATGGAAGCAAAATGCCCATCCTATGCCACTTCCTTTTTCTGGGTGCACTGGTCCTTCTTCCACACCTGATCGCATTTACGCAGTGCAAACTCTAGCAAAACTTGTGTTACATGCCTCTCTCAGGTCAAACTTTCCTCCACTTTGGAGATCCGCAGCTGGAAAGGTGGCCTGGCTCAGTGTGTCTCTCTTATTACTCTTTTCCTTTCTTGACTGATAGGCTGATGTTCTGAGCCTCTTCAGCACAGAATGAAAGGAAAAAGGAGAAGTGATAACTATCAGCAAAGGTTGACTGTCAGAGCTGTAATGTGACAGACATCAGGGTCTCCTGCGTAAAAGTGAAGTTACAATGCAAGATCTCATAGCTAGAAACAACAGAACTATCACTACATTAGGTTTGAAGGTACAGAAACAGCGAGTGGAACCCGCGGATGGACTCATGCAGAATTTGCCACCTTGACACAAATAGTGACCTTCTGTCCAGGTATACACTTGGTGTCAGGGAGATAGTGAAAGAATAAATGCCTTGAGCTCCATTGGCCCCTGTCCCTCCTGCCAGGCTTTCCATTGGTAGAATCTGGTAGAAGACATCTCCTAGCCAGCCTCTGGGAGGAACAAGGGCAGGCATAGACACACACATAGCAGTTTCCCAAAGCAGTGGAAACCGTCCCTTAGTACACCTCCTTGAAAGTTCTGGAGCTTCTAATGGTCTTTTCCAGTCTTCTGGTGCTTCCATCAAAACTCTAAGAAAGTGGGACAGCATTTCCATCCTGCTGAACTATTGTTAGTTCATTTGCATTCCCATATTTAGTACAGAAATATTTGTTACCTTATAGTTTATACTCAAGGTTATTTTTTATTCAACGTTATTTTTAAGGGTTTTTTTTTAAACCATGGCAAAGTAAAATTCTCAAAAATGTCTCTCTTTGTGTATATATATATATGTGTGTGTGTGTGTGTGTGTGTGTGTGTGTCTATGTATGTGTGTGTGGTAATGAATATTCATCTTTGCGCAGTTAAACAGGACTTTGACCTGGAGGAGTACAGCCTCTCGCAGTCCACCCTGGAGCAGGTGGGTCCATTTCAGTGATCTATCACCCAGGAAATTCAAATGTCAAAGTGGGCTATCTTTTGCACATGTTTGGAGCTGTCGGAGGCAGCCTGTCATCCCTTTCCTCTCAAGTTTTTTTCTCCCATTACAGGTTTTCCTGGAGCTCTCCAAGGAGCAGGAGCTGGACGATTTTGATGAGGACCTGGATCCCTCTGTAAAGTGGAAACTCCTCCCACAGGAGGAGCCTTAGAGCTTCAGATGTTCTGCTTCTCTTCAAGTTTTTTGAGACAGTGTTGTAAAGTGCTACTAGGCCTTATCGCATATGGTATAAATTACTTTTGAAACTCATGTCATAATTTTTTTCAACAGTATAGCTAGACTGGTGGGTAAAGTTAGCAACATCAATGATGAAGCCTGAGATTAGACCATACGCCCCAGTCAAGTTACCAGTGAGTGCGTCCTATTTCACAGGTTAAATTTAAAATAGCATTTGTGATAGATTTGTTTACGTGTCTGAGAAGGGTACAAAGACTTGTTTTCCTTTCCATGAATGTAAAAATATTGAATAATGTCTTATCTTTTTGATTAGGTGAGGAACAAAATCAGACATAATATTGACATCATGGGAAAGATATTACCCTATAGCACATATTTTGCTTTTTGTAATTTTCTTCCCGTAACAGGTTCGTAATTCCTTGGTTCTTTATTTAAAATCATTTTCAAATTTTAGTTTGTAGAATTCTGTTATCTACTGTGACTAAATGAATTCAAATCCTGTTAAGATGCATACTTGCAATATGGATCTGAATATTCAAGCTAATATTCAAGTTAATGAAATATATTATGATAAATTTTTACATGCAAAATTCTCATATATATATGAGAATGTTGTACTCATGTAAAGCACTAAAAATTCATTATTTCATTGGTCTGATTTTACCATATTTATCTACCTAGCTAGCTAGCTAGCTAGTTATATTATGGCCTATAAAACTAGTCACCATGTAACACTTTAAAATCAATAAATAAACTTGTACATTCAATTTAGTAGCATTTCTGTTGTTATTACCACTCTTACTGTTACTAACTGAACATTCAAAGACAGTTATGGGAAAAATCTTTACTCTTATTCTAATCTTTCTTTCATATTTTTAGTACATGAAAATAATACATGGCCATCAATTTACTCATGGGAAAGTTTAACAAAGTGACTCAGATTTCTTATTTTAAAGAAAGGACATTAACACTAGCTCTACCAACACTCTTGATTTTTATGAATTAGAAATTAGTTGATGCATGTGAATCTGTTGAAAACTACAGTTCACTTTATTTATATTGACACTAGAATCAATGTTCCTTACAATAAGCCAAAATTGTACAATTATTGTATCAAAAGTATTTCCCCCTAAATAAATCACAACTTACTAAGACTTGGTTCAGTTGTACCATAAAAATTCTGTTACAAGTGGGAAGCATTTTAGTGAAGATTTTTTTTCTTTTGATTATTTTTTTCTTTTCTTCTTTTTAATTTTTTCTTTTGGTACTGGAGATTGAACTCACGACCTCACTCTGGCCAGGCAGGTCTTTACACTACTGAGCTAAATCTCTGTCCCTGAAGAATTTTCTTTTAAAGTGACAAAGTGTAGATACACCATAATATGAGAGATGACAAAGGAATGTGCAGTATATCATTTTGACACCCTGTGGGCATATTCTTTAGGCCAAAATCAAAGCAAAGCGACACCAATAATTTGAGTGAGAAAAGTATCTATCTCTATCAATCCCTAAAAGGAACTAAAATCTTAAATTTAGATCACAGAATTCCAGAAATGTGACACTTGGGGAAGCATAATAAAATAATGACAATGTTATAATAACTTATAAGAAGACTAAGAATACACTGTTGTTAGATTTTGTATCTATATTGACTATTTTGTAGAAGCTTCATAATAACATTGAAATAATTATTTTACTTTTAATTTATTTGGAAGGCGGAATTTCTAAAATGATCCACTGTCTGTGGACCCCCAGTCTCTGAATCCTGTGGATATGATGTGCTATTGCCCTGACTATGTCTGCTATGATGTGTGAAACACCTTGTATGAACATGGAGAAGGCTATTAGGGTGGGCCTGGATAGATTAGCTGATGTGACTTAGTTTCCTGGTCACTTAAAAATGGAGTTTTCTCTGGATAGCAAGGGGAGTCATGGAAATTCAAAGTAAGAGAAGGATTTGAGGCTCTGTCTGTCTTTAAAGATGAGGTAGAGGCACAGGGGAAGGAATGTGAGAGTCCTCCTAGTTGAGAGGTAACAAATAGAAGGAGAAAAATGGATCTGTCATTAACTACTTGGTGTCACGAAGCTACTGCAATTGTTGGCTATTTGCTGTGTTTTACATCAGACAGCAGTGCACTGACTATCGCAGTAGTTGATGCCAAGAAAAAGGTGACATGAAAACCCTGGAAGAAGTGGTTCTTCTGAAGGGTGCTGATTCAATTACCAGAATCACTGTGCTAAGCCAAGCTGTCTGTTCCCGGTGTTACAAGGGTGACCATTCCCAATGAGACACTTAGAGACACCAGGCTGGGACTGAAAGACAGCAAAACAACCCCTGGACACCATAAACTGTTACCTTTTCTAGCACGATATTTTACTTCTCTTCCCTTGTACATTGCTCCATAAACTGTCATGAGACCATAATAGAACCACAGAAGCAAAATGTTTAACAAAACAAGTGAACTGTTACCCCACCACCACCAAAAAAAAAACCTTTAAAATCCTCTGGCTTCACTTGCTCTTACTATACGTAAAGATCATTCATTGTATATATAGGTGATATATAGGTGTCGATAACAGTTGCCTAGATTATTTCTCGGGACCCTAAAGATTGCTTTGCTGAAACACTGACTTCTCACATGAGCCTATGCAAATATTGGTGACTACCAATGGGAAAAAAGGTTTGATGTCTCTGTCTACATTTTAGGACCTTAGCCCTTGTGTATCAGTCAGTGATCACTACAGAAATAAATTTAATGCAAGATATATAAATAAAAGGGCTTGCAGGGTAGGCTTATAATGGCCACTCACAGAGACAGGTGTGGAAAAGTGCTGTCGGCGTGATGGAGATATGAAGGATCCGGTAGAAGGTCGAAGGCCTGGAGCTCACTGTGGAGTCCTGGGCAAATCTGTATCAGGAGGCTGAAGGGTCTGCAGTGGAAGCCAGGAGACAACACCCAAGCTGGTGGTAAAGACTGGAGCTCCTCCAAAGAAACAGAAGCCAGCCTTCTTCCTTTGTTTCCCTTTCATTCCATTCAGATGACAAGCCTACCCACAGAAGGTGTTCTGTCTTCATTAAATCCCTTTATTAAACTATATGCCATTATTGAGTTATATCAGGGATGATTTCATGCCTAGAACTATGCTGATACAGTTGAGTAGGGTTTACTTACTTAAATTAACAAATCAGTTAACTATCAACATCTTGTGACAAATTCTACTTACTTCTGCATGAAGATCTATTGATCACTTAAAAATGTTTCACCCTATAGTGCTCCTTGAGGCCATAATATTAAGTGAAATAAATCAGATATACCACTGCAAATATCACATACTTTCTCTTACATTAAAAACACAAAAGCATGAAAATAACTTAAAGGCATAATAAAAGATACACAATAGGAAAGAGGGAGATGGATCTTTTGCAAATAGAGGATCTAGAGAAGTGGGGCGGGGGAGAGCAGAAGGGGAAATAAAAAGAACTAAGTTGTGTTATGTTCCAACTCGCCATGATGAATGTAGTCATTCTGTATGTACTGCAAACATATCAATAAAAATGAAGAAAGCAACCCACCCACCTTACTGGTAAACAGCCATGTCCCAAACAAGCGGTGGGTGATCCAGGAAGAAAACCAGTCAGCGTCTCCCATGAGCCTATGGTGCACGGGCTGAGAATCAAACATCCCACCATTAGCAACTGGGAGCCTGAGGTCTGAGCATCTCTTGGCAGGATGACCATATGCAATATAGCAAATATGGGGGGGGGGGTGATTCTTCTATCATCTCTTTGAAGGAAAATATTGTTTCCACTGTTTTGTTCTGATTAATTGTTTTTCTCTATTCAATATTCTGTTTTGATAGGTTTTATAATGTTCTATTTTTGGTTTGATTTTGCTATACCTGATTGAATGGACAACTATTGAGAAGATAATGAGATATTCTACAGTACCTATTACTGTTACCCTGGTATCCTACTGTGAAGTTCTGTACCAATTTCACTGCACTGTCTCCACTGGCTTTGTTCTGTCTTGTTCTGTTGTATTTTACTACCTTCAAAATAAAAAAAAAAATAATAAAAAGTAAAAATAGATTTAAATTTCAAAAATGACTATACTGCAGAATGAACTTGTCCTATTATCTAATGGAGCTGGTGCGTCTTAGTTTCCCTCCTGTCCTCTTTTTCCCTTCTATCCCTTGTGCTTCTTCAGCAGGTGCAATAGCTTAAGCACCTTCAACCCTATCGTAAGGCCTGGACCAAACCACAAAGCCAGAAGGTTTGCACAAAAGCCTGACGAGTAACTTGCAAGCCTTACAACAAGTTCATTGTGACCACAGTGAACACTGGGTGGTCACAAGAGGAAACACCTTTTAGAATGGTGGCTCCATCTGAGCCTTCTCCTACCACAGTAAGGTCATAAAATCTTGTTGCTGTTTTGTGCTGTGAACAGCTTGGCCTCTTCTTTACCTAATGCTGACTTCCTTCGGGTTTAATCCTTGTTCATTTCAAGCTTCCCTCCTACTCCAATAAAGCATTCCTCTTCCTCTTCATTCCAATAAAGCAAGAATACATGTGCTGGCAATATTTGGCCCCATCTTATTTCTATTGTGCCCATTTTCAAAGATTATATTGTCTGCGGCCACCACAATTTTCCTGCATGTTTATCTGTGTTGACTCTGCTTGTTGATAGCATCTTCATTCCCAGTCTGTACTATAACCATCTCCTAAGTGTCTACCCCAGAGAAAGTAACTTACCCATTAAGGTGCTCATATAAATTTTCTCTTGCTTTATATCTGTGGAAATTTCAAGGCAAGAGAGTTAAAATAAAATCGTTCATTTAAATCACTACCTTGAAATAAGACTCAATGGTAATAAGAACCGTGAGAATAATAAACCCTAAAAGTCTAATTGTTACTGTAAAAAAGAGAGGAAAGTAAGGTGGACTAAGGGATATAACCGCAGCTATGTTCGAGTGTGTAGGATGGAAAACCATATAACTGAGCTTTTGTTGTATCATTGAACAGAACTGTCTCCAATTTCACTGTATGAATGCCCACTTTATATGCTTTAATTTAGTGATATGGACAACTGTTTCTGGGAAGATAATATGTAACCTATTAACTGGTGATTTCGTACTATATATATATTTTTTTCTTGAAATACTGTATTATTTGTACCCTTTTACTACATTGTTTTTTATGTCCTTTCTTTTTTTCTTCTCTCTTTAAATAAAAAAAATGAAATAAGACTCAATGTAAATTGCAAAATATATTTTAATGTCTCCTCAAAATCCCTCTTTGAGTGCAACTGATGCAATCACAGCATAATTAGAGACTCATAAAAGTAAGAGAAACAGGCAGCTTCCTGGGTCTTCACCTGCTACTTATTAAAGGCATAATTTGTAAACCCTGAATAGCTAGGAATTTAAAAGTCATTTTTTGTATGAACCTTGACTCTTCACTTGGACCTATGGATAGCCAATAGGTTACATGCAAAACAAAGTTTGGCTTAAATTTTTTAATACTTTGTTACTATAAATCTTGAGTCAAGTCTCTTCTCAGTTCTGTATGTAAATACGTTAATCATTTAGGGAGTATGGGTCTAACAGTTGGCAAAACAAGCCTGGTTAGCTCTGAATTTATATATTCTTACCCTGTTCAAGATTGAGGCCACCAGGTTCGAGGACTTTCAGGATCTTCAGTTTTGCCCTCAAGTTTCTATTGATATGAATATAAATTCATCACCTAAAAATGAAACCACTCCTGAGCCAAAAAGATTCCTGAACTATGACATCAGGAAACCACACATAGGCCAGGGAGAGGAAAGTCAGCGTCTCCTGAAAATCAGCCATGCTGGGACTTAGGGGACCAACCAAGAAATCAACCAGCCATCCTTCCTGGTACGCTGTGCAAGCTGTGTGCATTCCAGGAAGAGAAACGACAGTACCTCCCGTTGAGCCTGCTGACATGCAGGCTGAGAATCAAACACCATCCATATCCCCCACCTCCCACCCTTTTGTAACCCGTGGTTGTGAAGACAGCCTGAGTTGATAGCAACTAAGGTACATAAAGCAACTAAATGCTTCTATGGTTTGGTTGATTATGCAAGCCTGGGGCCAGGGGTCTGAGTATCTCTTGGGAGGATGACAGTATGCAATATAGCAAATATGGGGGATTTCCTTCTATTTTGAAATTCAATATTGTTTTCACTGTTTTGCTTTGTTTTAATAGTTTTGCTTTATTCAGTGTTCTGACTTGATTGGTTTTTGGTGTCTTGTTTTTGGTTTGATTTTGGTATACCTGATGGAATGGACAACTATTGTGAAGATAACAAAATAGACTATGGTAGCTATTATTGTTTTCCCGGTATCCTGCTTTGAAGCTCTGTACCAATTTGTTGCATTGTTCTGATTGGCTTTGTTCTGTCTTGTTTTGTTGGATTTTACTATCTTTAAAATTAAAAAATATATTTAAAAAAACACTCAGTGAGACCCCCCACACACACTCACAGACTCATTGTCTAAAGCTGGCTATCTTACATTGTGGGTAGACCTGTCTGAATCCCTGTATCAGAGTGTGCCCCTTCCAGCTACCTAAGCTACAGTTCTTTATCTTCTCTCTAACTTTCCAGTTAAATAGTTTCACCCTTGTAGATTTGTGCTTTAGTTTTAATTTTCACTATTACTAAAGGCAGGAACCCAAGCTAGCCAGCAGCAACAGTTACAATTCTGTAACAGCCGAGTACAGTGGGCTGGTCTCTGCTGCAGAAACTGGCTGGAAGTTAATAAAAGGAAATAGTTCAAGGGTGATCTCAGGAATTCAGTGTTCAGTAGGCCAGGAAAATTGCAACAGTGCTGTCTCCAAAACACAAACTTACTGGGAGTTTTCAGAGCAGGCAAAAAAGTTCAAGTATAAGAAAAAAAAACACACCAGTAAGAAATGTGAACCATTTTCTCGGAAGTTACAAAACCCAGACTGAACTGAGTTTGTAGGTCACTTTCTTCAGATACACCAAAGTAAGTTTACCTTAATTTTTGTGTTTGTACTATAAAATTAAAAATATGTTTCCATATACCAAATATTAAATATCTGTGGAAACTTTTTAAAAATTATGATTTAATATTTCCAAATATCAGCTGGCATACCTGCACAGAAAGGACTCTTAAAAATAAATATCTTGTTAAAAATTATGACTATTATATCATGATGATTGTATACATATGAGGAAATTTGACAGCTGCAAATTTGCTGGTGTGTAGATCATGAAAAGCTTAGAGCTTTTGGGTATGTTTGAAATATAACTCTGAATGTAAATGCATTTGCAAATATATACAGTATACGATTTTATCACACAGCGATTTTCAGGCTTTTGTGTCCACTAACTCTGTGAGACATTTTACTGTTAACATTTAGAGAAATGTTTTTATGGTTTCTGCCTCTTAGTCTCAGACTGACAGTTTTCAAATGGAAGACACATTCTTGCATCTTCTACTCTTGGCATATAAGTGTGCTAAATCAGATTGAGAAATGTGTACTTTTTATTACAACTGTACAATCTCAAACCCACTTCCTTTGCCACTCTGAGTTGTTTGTAATTAACTATCTTCCTTTCTTAGGGTGAAGCAAAAGAGTTTGTTCCAGTTTTAACATTAGTGTGACAGGAGAAAATCCAGAATCTTTATAGTTAGAGGTGAACTATGAAATTCATCATGACAAGGCCATGCCTTGTTGTTTGTTAGAATGCACTAGAGAGTATAAATGCACTAGGGAAGAAAAGTGAGCATGGGAGAGACAGTTTAAGGCACTCGTTTATGTTACCACTGCTTTCATAGTCAGGAAACCACAGATTCTCTGTGCCCAACAATCTCTTCAAAAGTACCCTCACTGTCAGAAGCAACCCATGGGAATCCTGGAACCCTGATCTGAAGCTTTATTTTTCCCCTTGGATTCTCTATGTAGTTGTTGTTCTGTGGGCTTTCTGTATGGTTGTCTCCAACATCTGTTTCTACTAGACTAGCCTCTCAGGCTTGCTAACCAGCCATGTGCAGGTTTCTGGTCTGGCAGTAGCCTCTGAGTATGCAGTGACCAAGTGCTTTCCACTGAAAATTGTCCCTGCATTTTTTGCCTGACTTTTGACTCTAGGAAGTAGCACCTCCAGTGTGTGGTTATATCTCATGAATGGGATGAGGGCTTTGGGCAGGGACACACTACTCCTATGTCTGTGAAAATATTGCAGAAAAATTGCTACCCGTTCTGTAACAACATGGAAACCAGAAAGAGATTACTTCTGGCAAATTTCAGGATCTAGAAGCCGATGGACACAGGCTAGGCCAGCATGGATCTGCAAGTTTTGTGCCTTAAAATTCCGTTCCACTTATATAAGCCATCGTGTAATGTTTCACATAAAACTAATGTTCTTTATAAAATAACGGTTTTTTGTAATTCAGAGTAAGAAATTTATTTTCTAATGCAAGTGCAACCTTTTATGAATATATGATGAACAGTTACTCTCCTTTATAGATAAAGTTTTTAGGAAATGCCAAGCACATTGTACTTGCATAGGGTTTGTTGATTGGGCTTATTACATGTAAAATTCAACCATGCACTGACACCTTTCCTCTCGGTAGATAATATATACACTGTCTGCAATAAAATCAACATAAAGTCCCACATTTCAATGGTTAGTTTTGTTTGTCAACTTGGCCAAGTTGTGACCAGTTGTTTGCTCAAGTATTAGTCTAAATGTTGCCAAGTGGTATTTTTCTTAGGTTAACATTTAAGACGATAGATTTTGAGAAAGCAAATTACTATCCAAAGTGTGATTGGATTCTACTTACTCAATTAAAGGCCCAGAAAACACATACTTTCCCCCAAAGAAAATGGCATTCTTTTCAAGATTTCATCCTACAAGTCCTGCCTGAGTTTCCAGCTTGCAGCCTTGCAGAAACTGGACAAGAATGCAACACCAATGCTTCCCTTAAATTCTAGACTGCTGGCCTTCTCCACAGATTTTTAAGTTGCTATCCCTACAGTTGAATGAGCCCAATTTTTAAAAGTCAATTAATCTCTTTTCTACTATATTTAATGTACATCCTTATCAATAGATGGCTAGATATGGATATCCCCTCTTGGGTATGTTTCTGTGGAGATCTTTGACTAACAAGTGCACCAACTTTTGAGGCCCCCTCCTCCCCTTAGCACCACATTCATTCAAGTGTAAATTGCTGAATATCATTTGCTGTTTCTGCCATAGGAGGGAACTGATCTACACTGTACCTCTACTTCCTGATTACTCATTATCCGGGTTCCTTTCAAGATGCTCCAGATCTAATTTGCTTTATCTCTAAGTCTTTGTACTGTCTACCTTACCAATACCATTTACCACTCGAACCACATGTGCACAGGCACACACACATATGTATACACACATGTATACACACGCACACACACAGAGCAGAAGTGCCATTGGTTCACTTCTTGGAAATTATAACTGCTTTACTCTGCCTCTCAGGGTCGTGACGACTGGACCTGCCAAGCTTTGAGCCCACTGACATTCACAATATGGACTTCCACAGAGGTCTTGGCCTTCTGTTTTCAGCAGGCTGCAGCTCAACTTTCTGTAGCTTCCAACTTAGGAAGCATCCTTTTTCTGAGGACAATGCACAGTACCATGCTTCAACACATGTTGTAAAGGATTACTTTATTTCCAATTTGCAAAATAATATTTATACAAACACTCAACACATAGTATAACATCCCAGAAATGTTACATTGTTATAAAAGTTGTTAAAGCAAACTTTTCTTTATCTTAATTTGTTTTGCCTACCAAAAACTAAGCGTGAGTTAATAGTACCAACATAGAATGACAGCTGACACTCCTGGTAATAAGCACCCTTCATCCGGCAAACCTATTCAAGAGAGTGAGTACTCAAGTTTGACTCACATTCCACTATCTGCTTCCTCAGTCTAAGGCTTTAAAGTAGAAAATACTATTTGTCTCCATTCCCAAATTCTCCAAATAAAGTACATTCATAAAGCACATTTAACATACCAACCCCCAGATAACAATAACAATACCATACCAATAACAATAACAACATACCAACCCCCAGATAACAATAACAATAACCAATTCTTTTTTGTAATCCATGTCATTCTAATTCTTTTTGCTGGTCAATGACAGGAAGCTGAAGAAGACAGGTCAAAGTTAATGGGTTCCTAACCAGCTCAAGACTCTGAATTCATCTGAAGGAAACACTTTCCACCAGTTCCAGCACATCGCATACTGTGGTCTTTCCATGGTAACTTGTGAAGTCAATATGTTTGATTCAAATTATGATGGTCATAAAATATCTACTTGTGTATTATAAAAAAGAGTAGATATTTTAGTAGAGAAAATGGAACTAAATTTCTGTACAATGGTAAGGATAATAGTGATTGATAATTCCATAGCTAGTAACTGCAATTCCTTTTCTAGGTTCATCACCCAGATACCTTGTCACATGTGACAGAGAGTCATTATATTTATGCTATAATTCTATTTACATTTTCAAAAAGTTCAGAATAATTTAGGTCCACAAATCTAGTATTTTTTCTCTTTTAACAGTATAATGTTTTCTTAGAAGAAATATAAAGATTAAGATTTCCCAGGTAAAATGACATTCTGTCATATCTTCATGTCCTGTTAATATAAGTAAAATGACTTCTGTTGAAAGTTCACAAAAATTGAAATCTGAAATTGGTTTCAGATGTATCAGCTTCAAAAGATTTGTATTGTACAAAATCTAAGAACACAGTTGCATTAGTATGTGTCCATAGAATTAATAGATGTATACACATTTAGCAAAATACACTGTTGAAAAATCCTGGATGTGGAAGGAGAGACAGAAGGCTTCAGAGAGATATCTAATGATTAAGCATACACAGAATCTAAGCATCTTTTTGGAAATGTAAGGTAATAAGGATATGAATTATTTTCATATAATCTCTTCATATGAAGGTTTTAACCTCTATTTCTCCTTCTTTAATTAAACAGCAAAATGGTGAGAAGAAAGATAAATGTATGTCAATAAGCATGGACACTATTTTGCAAGCATTTGCTTAAAAAATGGAGACTAAAAAGGGATACTTTGATGGTAAGACTCAATGTTTATGTTACTTCGCATGTGTGCTATTAAGACATGCTTCACTCTGTGGCAAATGTGCTTTATAGATTGCCCCTGAAAAGTAAACCACACTTCTATGAAGTGAGTGCAGAGACAAAAACTTAAAGGCTAAGTATAATAAAGAAGACAGCAATTGAGATTCAACAAATATTGTAAAAATTTAAGAAAACATTTTTAAAAAGTAATTAGTGTTATACTCACTAATGCCAAGATTAAGATGGCCATGAATTAAGACTAAAATCATAGTAAATTGAAGGCATGATGAACCTGTAACCCAACAGACACAGTCTCAGGGAACAGGGACTTAGTTCGGGATCTGTGCTTTTTCCTAAATGATCACTCGGTTTCTTAAGAAAAGAGAGATTTCAGTGTTGACATAATATGATAGAGAAAAAAAATCATCATTATTTCTTATAGTCATGTAAGTATCAGACCGGTATAGGTAGGTAGAATTTGCTTTTAAATTGTGATTGTGCTAAGCATATATTCAGTGAATTCCTTTGTCAGGCAAAGAATTTTGGGAATTTAAAAACTGAAAAGTGATTTGTTATTTGTAGTTTGTGTAGCATACCAGGCCAGTATTGTAAGATCCCTGCTGTTTTTAAGTTTTCAGTCTTGCTGTCTTAAAATGTAACCAACATATTCAATATTTCTATAGAAACAATGCCTCAGAACTGTCTCCTGCCATACATGCTTGCAATAAAGTCAAACATGTTGGTGGACCAAGTTATACCCCTAATCATAGCACAATGCTGGGTGCCTCTGATGTGCATTAGAATCCAATATACTGCTGCTAGGTTAGAGAGCAGTCAACTTCACGTCTATGAAAAATTCATTGGAATTATGTTCCAGCTAAACTTCTGGGGTTTGCATATTTTAACACAAGTGCATATGACAATAGATGAATTAGAAATTTAGCCAGACAAAAGCACAGCTATATGACAAAACAATTTTGACTGACTTATTTGACATTATTATTTTCTTGATATTTTCTCTCTGAGTATGTAGGAGTGGTATACTCAGTGATTTTATAAGTGACCTTGTTCACATTTTCCAAAATTCATAAAGTGAATGATTTTTCACCAATGACTTCTGTGGAGCTGGGATGTACAGATTCATTCGATGATTCCACATTTGTGATTGCATACACACCATTCAGCAAAACAGCCCAAGAGATAATGAATAAAGTCTCTTCTGCCTCCTTCACAAACAAAAGCAGTTAATTTGTAGTTAATAAATTGTTTGCCATCAAAATTTCCAAATAATATAAAATGTTAATATAAATTCCATTATTAAATAAAAGGCCTCAAATCATTATCTGAAAATAAAATTAAGCATGGGAAAAGAGTGCTTATAGTGTTCATTCTCTAAACAAAAGAAATAACTAAATTATATACAGATTTTGGAAACACAAGACTGTGGACTTTTCAAACTCTGGAGTGTTGATACTGATATGAGGCCCTGCTGTTCAAGTAACTTTCAGAAGTCTTAACGGGTTGGCTCTGTTCTTGGCCAACAAGCATTTATCAATGCTGTTTCTTGGATTTTCCAATCAAATCCCCTCTTAACACTCAAAAAAGATTTTTCCTCTTCAAATGTGAGCATCCCATCTACATGTATTATGTGTACTTAAGAAACTGAGGCAGGAGGATTGCTATGGGCCAGCCTGGGCTAAATAATAAGTTCAAGACCAATCTAAATTACAGAGCAAGGTACTGCCTCAAAAAAACATAAAAACTAAAGAAACACTAAAAACTTCTGTCCTTGCTACAGTTAGGCAGCTCTCATAAGAATGTAAGATGAGCACTATAGTTGTAAATAGAACTTGACAATCATTTTATTTCTTTTTAAAATAGCTTTGGACTTGAAATAGCTGTTATTTATTGTGAATCTTTCATTGCTAAGTGACGGACAGACAGTCCTGACACATGTAGTTTTAAGCAAAAATGTAATTACCAACCATACTTATTCTAAACTTCTTAGCACAGTTTCAAGACTTTAGTTCTAACCGAAATGAGAAACACCTGTGAAAGAAAAGTAGCTCTTTCACAATATTCCAGCTCATAGGTTCGCGGTTTCTGCCCCTCCCACCACTGGTGTGAACCTCCAAACCACTTAGTGCTAAGAAAAGAGGAGGTGTGGTGTCACTGCTAAATCTCGAAAGGCCTAATAGAAGGAAGAAGGAAGTTAGGAGAATAAAACTGACAGCTTTTTCTTTCTTTTTACAGGCACATATGTATACCTGATACTATCCTTTAACATAAAAAAAGGAAAAAAAAAACCTTAAAATCATCCATGGAGATTATTCCATAAATACGATTTAGATTTCGTTATGAAAACATCACAGAGGGACATTAACATTACCTTGGAATAGCAAAAATTTAAGAGCACTGTTCTTAGGTGACCTGTAGACTTCCATACAAGTTGCTGGAAATCTATAAACCACTCTTCTATTTTTAGACAACTTCTGCCCACATTGGACCATGTAAACATTAAATTTGCCTTGAATTCTGACCCCCCCCCACCAGAAACAGAGCCTGTATTCAGAAGTTCCCCTTCCCTGTGGATGAGTGCAGGCGCCTACCATAGAGAGATTCTGTGGCCAGTTCCCAGATGATGCTGGGCTCTCCTCCAGGCCAGTGCTTCGGTGTATGCTGCCAGCCAGTGGATGTGAACGATCCCAAACTCACTTTCCTGTGGCACCTCATCCAACATCAGACCTCTCCCTTACAGCTAAATCTGCATCTCTACACTGTGCCTCTCACCTCCCAATGCTGAATCCACTTCTGATTCAAGTTCATGCCCTGATATGAATGTCCATGAAAAGTCCACATTCACCCTGTACTGAGACATGTTTGGGCTCATCCTGTCTTTCACAGATGTTCTGCTGAGATCCACAGTGTTTTGTAGTATGTTCAAATCATACTAGGAACATTTTTAAATTTGTATTTTAAATCATCGATTTTATTTTTTTAGAGTCAATGCTTCCCAGCTCCTGACAATGTCTGCTATTAATATTTATCTTACCTTAATCTATGATCCGTGAATCAATTTATAAACTAATCTGAGTCATCATTATAAGTGAAAACTACAGTAGATAGGAGCTCACTCTGTGTTGCACAGTTCAGTTTGAACAAACATGCAGTATCACTTATGCACCATTACAGTGTCCTACAGTATAATTTCACTGTCCTAAAGTTGCTACATGTTCCATCTGTGATACTCTCTACTCCTCTTGAAATCCCAAAAATCACTTTTTACTCTCTTTACCATTATGCCTATTCTGAAGTATTATAACATTGAAATCATACAATATTCAGACTAGACCATAAGATTATAGAATCATACTAGCCCACTTTTAAATTAGCCTGCAACATTGTAGAATCAGATGAAAGGGGATTTGCTTAAAGAGTTTTACATTCTGTACCTGAAAAACTAATTTGCATTGCATGCCTGGGAATTGCATGAAAAATTACAGTTCAGAGTAGTTTTACTATCAATTTTCTGCAAGTTAACTTCTGCCTCTTAGATGAAAGGAAATGAGTCAGCTTCTTAGTTTTTTAGGTTTCTCTTCTGCAACATAGAAGGAATAGCAGTGCCTATTCTGTAGCATATTGTGAGATGTAAATTAGCAAATGACTAAGATTTATAAGTATTATGTAAAGTAATAAGTATCTGTATGGAAAGTAGGAAACGCTACGCAAGTTACCTATTAACCATAATATAGAGTCACTAACTTCTTAATTGTTTAATAATATATTTATATTAATAGTGTCATTTGCAGTAGTATTATTTGATTATTAAGCAGTTTTGAGAGTACAGAAAAAAAAACTAGATTTCCAGAGAAAATATTAACAAGGAATCAAAAATAAGTATCTTACAAGGACTAGGGGAGATAATTTTGCAATAGTAAGAGGCTACAAGTTATTCTATCTGACTAGAACACAACTTTCAAAATATGCAGAATATTAGGTGTCCATATAAGGAGAGAGAAGAACCTCATTGTTAGTACTCTGGAAAAGCAGAAGTAGTATAATAAAGATAAGGAATAATTTCCTATTTTCATAAATATTTATGAAATTATTTTTACATCCGAGACCTTTTGCCTATGGTGAAAAGAGCCTAGCATTGACGTACAGAGGCAGGGCTCTATGTATTCCTTCCCTCACTGAATCCAAACTCCTGTTTCTCTCATTTTCCAGCAGAGAAAAGCAGGATAAAGCAGTTTTGTAGATGGCCAGAGCTAGAATGCGGTGGACACAGTTCCTAACCAATCCTGTAAGGCTTCTTTCTCTCCATGCTTCCTGAAGTTTACGTGCTCCATTTGTTTTAATCCTAAGAAAAGGCACATCTTCCTTCTGTTCCACATAATCAGGCTCTGTTTATATATCGCAGAAGGTTCAATGTAGAACTGGTGCGTGAGGGAGACAGTGAATGAAGGAATGGTTAATACTAGTCTCCACGTCGGGTACTCACTTGTATCTATCATCAAATGCTGAAGTAGCCCTTTGTTTCCACATCAGGTTCTCCTGGGGTTTGCTTTATGCAGGCTTTGTCTTCATTCTGGCCCTTTTCTTGGCATTTATTACAATATCAGTCCAATTTATCATCTCAACTGGCTTCATGATGGTCTTCAGCCTCTTTTTCTTCTATGGGCTCTCTTGGATGAGTTGAGGAATAAAATTTCTCTCTGTCCCTCTTTCCCTCGAAGAAACAAGCTTGATTTTCTCACATGTTCCTTTTCAGCTGGCATGAGCTATCTGTGGATGGGCACTATTTGACTTGGAGTGCTTCATGGTGCCAATGTGTAGTGTAAAGCATACTTTTATATATTAAATACTTTGTTTCACTAATAATTATCAGAATAATATAAACCAACTGAATCTTCTCTCATTGTAGATCATTTTAGCTTTCCTGATGAGTGTGTTGTTAAAGAAGCCTTTCCTCACCTGCTTGGTTGTTTTCTTTTCACTGTTGTTGGGGGACCTGGGGTACATGGCATTGTACAGATACCTTCTTGTGCCTTTGGAGTGGATTTTAAGTTTATTTAGCCCTTTTGCCTTTACACTCGGAATGGGTCAGGTGAGCATTTATCTCTACTAGTGACATTTCCCAAACATCATTACTCTCAGAAATTTAATAGTCTGGGGCCAGGGATATAGATCAGAGGCACAGCACCTGCCTGGCAAGCATAAGGTCCTGAGTTCAGTTCCCAGTACAAAAGAAAGAAACAAACAAACAAACAAACAAACTTAACAGTGTGTAGTCAATGTCCCATATTTACATTTAGAATCCTTTTGCCTCTACTGAACAAAATGCTTGTGGGGTTACAAAGATGAGTTGGAAAAGCCACGAGACATTTTCTTCTAGAAAATATGTTCTTTTGTAAGTAACAAGAGAAAAATGAAGAGGAGACTCACAATCAGTATCAATGTGTTTCATCTGCTCCCAAAATGGAATTTGTATTGTAAATTGAATTTTAACTTATTCCATACTCATTTCACTTAATGTTACAAAACTGTTACATGATGCAATTCTCAAAACTAAAACACAAAAGAAATTAAAAATAATGTATCTTAGTCAAGTATTGTCTAAGGAGTATTTTTTCATTACTAAAATATCTTCTCTTTCCCCATTTTCTTATGCTAAAGAGTCCATCTGTGCCTCTCCAGTACACAGTGAGACTACTAGTTAATCACCACTGTCTTGCACTTATAAGACGTTAACTGCATAGTACTCCTTTTCTTGAGAAATATGAACCAGCCAATGTTTTTATATTGACCTTAAAGGAACAATGCAATTTCATAATATTTTTAGCTCTAATGCAGCCATTTTCTGAAACTTCATCCCCACTCCGAATTTAGTAAAATTCTGTGCAAGTGCTGACTTAAATATTGCATCGTCTCTGATTTTCCTATATTTACTAAGTCCTCCCTCTCCATGTGGAACATAGGTCTACTGTGCCTATTACTAAATTACAGTATGGTTTAGACATGTCCCTATTTTCCAACAGGAAACTATAAACAGCCAAATAGTTTAATTTTGTATGTTCATGGTCTGGCAGAAGGTAATAATTACAGTCTACATTATAGCCACATTTTAAGAGAATTGAAAGAATTATTTCCCTTTCATTTATTGGTTGATTTTTAATTTTCAGCTCCTGCACTTGGATTTTGATGTGAATTCTAATGCAGACTCAATGGGTGACCCACATCTAATTATAGCTACAATTTTCATGCTGTTCTTTGATAGTTTCTTTTATCTGGCGCTGACATTTTATTTTGAAAAAAATTTTGCCAAGTAAGTAGTAGCACAATAAAACTTGACATTATTTTTACAATTACACTTCTTGTAAATTATCTTCTGCAAATATGTTACCTATATTTCAAGAATTTGGGTATTAATAGGGAGGAGATGAGCATAGCCACCAGCACAGCAAAATTATTTCTTTTATTCTCTTTTACAATCCAAATGCTCAGGATTGAAATATAAAGTTGTTGTCCTTTAGTTTAATTAAGTGTATGATTAGCTTTTCCTCTGTCTCTCCTTTATATATTTAGGATATTTGATTCCTAAATGCTTCCTGACTTTTGTTCTTAACAATAAAAATTTGTAACTACTTAAAACTCACTAGTTCTAACTTTTGATTGCATACAAGAACCACTCAGGAGCTTTGCTTATGTTTTTATTTAAACAACAATGTATATATTTATCCTGCCTGATAGGAAATTATCAAACATTTTTAACTGTGGAATGGCTAAGCCAAGCTAATCAACATATGCATTACCTCATTTACTTTTGTTTTTGTTGTGAGAAGATTTAAAATATACTCTTAGCAATTTTCACTGTGACACATTACCACTCAGTACAGTCACCATGGGTTAAGATCTCATGAAAGTATTCGTCCCAACTGACTGAGACTTTTTATCTTTTAACCAATTCTCCTCTGGCCTCTCAGTCTCTGGTAGTCTCCATTGTACTATATGCTTCTATTATTTCAGCCTTTACCCATGAGGAATCATTTCATTTGGTATTTTTCTTATAATGTCGGCCAGTTTGATTCACGTTGTTTTAAGGAGTTTAAGGAAAAACCAAAATCAGTTCAATCCCAGACGTTTTTATCCCATCCTTCGAGAGCAGCACCAAGCCATCTGCGCTTTCAAATAGCTCTCAAAATGATTAGGATGGGCAGCCAGACTACAGTGAGAAGGGATCCAATCAAATATTTATAATTTTTTTGTCCCAAAAATTTATCAATGTGTCTCTAATATAGAAGCTCCTCATTTTTTTTTTCCTCAGAGTATCTGATACATCCTAGGTGATCAGTAAATATTTTTACAGTTATCTAGGGTACCGTCCATGCTCAAGGACAGACATTTGTCTGGTCTGCCTTTGTTTCCCAAGCAAATGAAGTAACAAGAACTCTCCCCCAAGAGGCCATAAATAAACACAGGGAGAAAGGGAGAGAGGCAAATAAATGAGAGGAGGAGAGCAGAGGAATTTCTTGTTTTAGTTAACTGACCATGTTGATTTGAGAGAAAAACAATACAGGATGATTGTGCCTGCTTTACTGAAATGTTCAGAAAACAACATTGCACTTAATTTCCCATGTTTTGACAGTATATTTATGATAATGATACGAAATAAGTAGCTTGTTATATACTCAAGCATATACATTTGAATTTGTCTTTGTGTGTATAGCATTTAAATGATATATTTTCACCTTTCATTTTGCCTACCACTGACAAAAACTGGTACAACATAAAGGAAAAAAATCTTTACTTACTCATTGTAAATGGTCCAATAATATTTGTCTAAGTAGGACAACTTTCTTTTTTATTGTTATTTTAAAAAGTAAAACAGAAAAAAGAATAGAAACAATGCAGAATTTTTAAACAATAGTAGGATATTAACACCAGTTAAGACATTGCATATTGTTATCTTAGAATTAGTTGTTCAGGTCACAAGATTTAGATTTGAGAACAATGATCAAGCAATTAAACAATGAAGGCACACACTGTTCTTTCTGATGAACTAACAGAGATCAGTAGTATAGTTAAGTATCTACACACTGTATGTATATGTATACCTATATATATATCTTTTCTCTTCTTCCCTTTCTCTTTTCCTTTTGAGCACTTTCTTGTCCTTGGATTATCACTATCTAGTCTACATTTTTAGTCTTATAACTCTGTCAGTTGTTTTAGTACACTAAAGAGACAATACAATATTTACAATTGTGAGTTTGATTTATTTTACTTATGAGTATGGCCTCAAGTCGCCTCCATTTACCTCAAGATCATCCTTCTTTGTACAAAAAAAAGCCACGTTACTTTTATCCATTCAGGACAGATGAACGTTTGGGTTGTTTCTAAGATTTATCTATTACAAATTGTGTTGCTATAAACTTGGGTGCACATATATTACTGCAAGACATCTTCAGTTTTTCTGGGGAAATACCCAGAAGGGGAATGGCTGGATTAAATGGGACTTTCAATGCTACTTATTTGAGAAATCTCCACACTGATTTCCACAGTGTTTGTATCAGTCTACACTTCTATCAACAGTGGAGAAACATTCCTTTTTCCCCACAATCTTGCCAACATCAGTTGGTTTCTTGATGGCAGCCATTCTTTCTGGAGTGAGATAGAATCTCAGTGTTGTTTTAATTTGCATTTCTCGAATGACCAATGATGTTGAACCTTTCTTCATGTATTTGTGTGCCATTTGTATTTCTTCATCTGAGTAGTGCATGTTAACCTCAGATGCCCATTTTTGGATTGGATTTTAGAATTTGGGAGGCCTGATGTTTTTCAGTTCTTATATGTTCTAGATGTAAGTCGTTTGTCTGAGGGACAGCTGGTTAAAATTCTTTCCAATTCTTCCCACTATGTTGGGATTTCTTTTGATGTGCAAAACTTTTTAATAAGATGAGATCCCAGCTCTTAATTCTTTGAAGTACTTTTTGTGCAGTTTGCATTTTGCTCATGAATTCTTTGCCTAACTCTATGTCTTCTACCTGTCTTCCAGTGGAATTAGTGCTTCTATTTTGATGTTTAGATCTTTGATGCATTTTGACTTTAGTGCCTAATGATAGACATGGATCTAGTTTTAGTCTTTGGCATGTGGAAAGCCAGTATTTCCAGCATCATTTATTAAAGAGGCTATCTTTCTCCCATTGAACATGTTTAGTTAGCCCCTTTGTCAAGGATAAGGTGTCTGAATGTCTTTGTAGTTGTGTCTGCATCCTCTAAACTGTTCCATTGATCCTCAGGTCTTTTTTTTTTTTTTTTTTAACAGTGTCATGCTGATTTTATCACAGTAGCATTGTAGTATACTTTTAAGTCATAGATTGTGAAACCCCCTGCCTTGCCTTTGCTGCCCAGGATTGCTATTGCTATTCTAGGTCTCTGGTTTCCAAATGAATCTTAGGAATGTTTTGTGGTTTTTTTTTTTTTTTTTGAGAACTGTGAAGTATGCTGATTGGGATTTTGATTGGGATTGCATTAAATCTGTGTTGGTTCTTCCTATCCAAGAGCAAGGCATATTTTTCCATTTTCTGACATCTTATTCTATTTCTTTTTTTTTTTTTAGAATACTATAGTTTTCAATATATAGGTATTTTACATCCTTTATTAGGTTGATTCCTAAGTATTTCACATTTTGAATGCTATTGTGAAAAGTATTATTTCCATAATTTCTCTCTCAGTGAGTTTGTTTATTGTGTACATGTATGCTATTGTTTTTGTTTTTGTTGTCTTTTTCCTTTTTATCTGTACCGGGGACCGAACTCACGACTGCCTGTTTGCCATGCAGGCGCTTATGCCACTGAGCTAAATCCCCAGCCCCAATGCTATTGTTTTTTGAGTGCTGACTTTGTATCCACCTACACTGCTGAATTTGCGTATTAAGTGTAGAAGTCTGTTTTTGGGGTATTCTATGTAGAGTATCATGTCATCTACAAGTAATGATAATTTAACTGCTTCCTTTCCTATCCCTATTCCTTTTCTCTCTCTTGTCTAACTGCTGTGGCTAATGTTTCCAGAACTATATTGAATAGGAGTGGTGATGGTGGACATCCTTTCCTCTATCCATTCCCTCTGAGTTTTCTAGCCTTTATGAATGAAGATTTTCAAAGTAGGTATTTATGATCTGAATGTCCATGGGGTCTGTAGTAATTCCACTCTTTTTATTACTCATTGCATGAATTTTAGACTTTTCTTTCGTTTTCTTGATATATTGATCTAGGGATTTATCAATTTTGTTTATCTTTCAAAGAACCCACTCTGATACATTAATTCTTTGTTTTGTTTTCTTAGTCTCAATTGCATTAATTTCTGCTCTGATCTTTATAATTTCCTCCCTTCTATGAGCTTTGGGCTTGACTTGCTCTTCTTTTTCTAAAAGTTTGAGGTGCAGCATTAGATTGTTTATTTGTGCTCATTCTGTTTTCCTGATATAATAATTCATTGCTCTATATTTCCCTCCTATGACTGTTTTCATTGCATCCCACAGGTTCCAGTATGCTGTATCTGCATTTTCACTGAATTGTAAATGTTAATTTCTTCTTTAATTTCATTTGTA